GTAATTTATCTAAAAAATTCAAGAATGAGGTTTTATCGGATACCACCCTTAGATTTAATTTTTACCGACGAGTATTTTTTTCTAAATATCAAAAATACCCTTGAAATCAATCAACTCGTTTAATTGAATCGAGCGATTTGATTTAAATCTGATCGATCTAAGGGTTGGTTCAATCCATTTGGGATCGTAGTTCGGGTTTGATCTTGTGAAACAAATCGGGTCAAGTTTGAATCAAAAGACAAAGAGGGTTACATCAAGTGATTGTAACTCTCATGCAATCAACGAAGATAAGTGCTCCTCTCTTCTCTATTCTTTTTTTACGATGAACGATGATGACATCCTCCCCTCTTTAACAATTAGAATATCCTCCCTTCTCTAGTATTAACTTACCTATAACGACTTTATCGATGGCATCACCCAATCGCGACGACCTAATCTTCTCTTCAGTTGCGAATGGCAACATCTTCGTCGATAACTACTTCACATTATCGAGCACAAAAGTAGGCTTTATATTGTCTTATATATTGCAATAATCATAAAATATTTTCATTTATATGGAGAGTATTCAATTTGAATTTTGTATGAATTGTTCATTAGTGTTACTAATTGAAGGATGCGATCGGTGATGAGAATATTGCAATAATGTAGGTTCAAAAGTCATGTAAATTTTACTAATTATTAATCTTGATTTGTTACATTGCCTACTAAATTTTTAATTACCTTACTTCTCACAGGAACCTTAGCTTCTTGGCTTGTGTTCTTCCAAGCATTTATGTGCTAATGTAAATGTGATTTGTCATCAAAAGCTAAATGCGTGTCACCCTTCAATGAATAGATGATGTGGATATCAATTTTGAATTGTTATATTTCCTTGTAGTTTTTCAAGTGTTGATTAGAACGGTGTTGGCACATGTTCTTTCTAAGCATGTTTATCTCTCATGTGAGATTTGGAATTGGAACGTCTTTCTTGTTCTTTTATATGTTACAAAAATAACTTTCATATATATTTACATAAGTACATATGTTTCGTAATAACTTTGATGACTAGAATTGGTCATTCATGTGGTTTGTTGATGAAATGATCTTTAAAGAAGATTTATATTAATCATTTATTTTGGTTATCATCTAATAATTATGTTGTAATTTTTCTCTCTTAAATTTTGGATATAATATTTTTATAATATTTAATTATATATAAAAATATAATTACTTTATTACATAGATCCTTAGACTTGGGGGTTAAAAAGTAGATCAGATAATAATTTATTTTAATCATTATTAAGTTATATATAATTATTTTTTTAAGTATAAAGTCTCTTCTCCATCTTCACCTCCTCCGCAATCCTCTCCTCGTTCATCCTTCCTCTGCAATTACATCACCTCTTTATAATATATAATGATCATTATTATATAGATTATTTTAGATTTTTTTTATATGTACTAAGTGATATGAGTGATGACACTTATTCATTCACTTAGGTGGTGTCATCTTCGTATACATAAAAGGACACCTTTTTGTTATATAGTAGATATTTCTAATATTTCTGTGTTGATCTCTCTATATAGTATTTTGGAATTTTAGATGAAAGGATCTATTTTTATTTTTGATAGTGTCCCAATTAAGTTTAGCCCAAGCAATATTGCTCTATTTTTGAAGATTTTTAACCATGAAGAAGTCTAGATGTTGAAGTAATCACTTTGGTTTATATGCTTGAGAAATATTTTAGAGATCAACTTTCTAATAGACAAAATATAAAAGATTTGATGTGTATGCTGGTGCTAGTGATGACGATATTAATATTATCAACTTTTATCAATTGTATATTTTATATATTTTTATTTATATTTTATTTATCAAACAAACTATACTTTATCTTAGTATTACTATCATATATCGATGATTTGGATTCGTTGACAAATTATAACTAGATGATGGTTATCTATTGTTATTTCATTATTAGTGTTCAATAAAAAAGTTGAAGTTTGTCTTAAGATCTAAATGGTACTAAGAGAGGGGTGAATAAGTTCAATAGTATTTTTAATCGATTTTAAAACTCCATTGATAAATTAACATATTTTAAAAACTCAATTGTTTAAGTTAAAGTTTCAAGTAAAGAAAATAAAACTAAGTCACAAGGCCAAATAAATAGAGGCAAACTAATCTATAGTAGTTCAATCTTCTCAACCAGCATCTACTCTCGATTCCTTTTTCTTCGACGCTATTGATTTTTACTATGGATCTTTTTTCTAATGGGAAAAGATCAGCTATTCTTGTTACAAATTTTTCTTTTTTTAGACTAAGGAAATAATCTTCAGACTCTCTTTTTATACGGGATCTCTTATCTCTTATAACTTAGAATTATAATTAAACTCAAGAGAAGGAAGAGACTCAAATGATACTCAAAATAAGAGCTTATAATACTTTACCAACTTAGAAATAGATACTCTATCAACCAAGTCATATTTATAGGCCTAAAAGGTTTCAAGAATAAAGCCAAAATTTTAAATCCTTAAAATTTTAGGGTATGAACAGTACTACCGACACCGTTCGATACTACCACTGTACCTATACTACAAATCTGGACCACCATTGATCTAGGTAGTATCATTATCACCATAGGTGGTATTAACGCTAGAAAGACTAACAAAATACAAACAATACTTATTGGCTAACATAAATTTTGGTTTTCATTTTCCTAATAATAGACTTGGAAGAGGGGAGGCATGTCAAGTATTAGCTTGGGATCATGTCTTCTTAGGCCTATTCTCGATATACAATATGATTTTCATTATTATTTTTCATTTCAAAAATACAGTCGGATGTTTAGGGTACTATAAGTGATCAAGTGATAGTAATTCATATTCTAGTATATTTAGTATTTTTTTTATTTTTATTTAGAATGATTAATTGTCCAAATAGTAGATTTATGTTTTGAATATGTGACCGATTGTAATTCAAACCCAAGAGTAACACGATTGTAACTAAATTTCTTGTACTAAACCTATCGAAACTCCTCTATAAATATCCTAATATGATTTTAGTATGTTTAGTATAACTTTATTTTTTATTTAAGTGTGATTAATTATCCACATATGATATTTGTGTTTTGAATCTATGAACTGAGTGTAGCTCGAGCATAACCAGAGTTTAACTCAAAATTTTTTTATCAAACCTATCCAAATTTCTCTATAACTATCCTAATATAATTTTAATATATTTAGTATCATTTTTTCTAATGTATTTAATTTTTAAATAATTATATAAATTAAATTATTAAAAAATAGTACTATAGTTCTGGTTGGTACTATTGCCCGGTTTAGGGTGACACCATAGCTTATTATTATTGGATATATTATCATTGGATATAGTTAGTATCATTATCTCTGATAGTATTAACTTGAGTTAAATTTAACGAAACCATTGGAAACTTATCCACAACTCCTATAACATGATTTTAAGATGATTAAAATTATTTATCATAATTTTGGATGATTTTAGTGTATTTAATAAAATTTGACATGTAATGATCAGAATGATAGATCGTAATCATATCTCATTCGCAACTCAAGTTCAACTTAAATAAAAAAGATAGTAACTAAATTATAATCCACTCTGAAAATTAGTAAAATGGTAAAATAAATTCAATTTAAACATAAATACAATAAGGATTGCAACATCAATTCCAAAATTATAATTTAAAATTCAAAATTAGCAAAAGTTTATAATGTTATGGCACATTTATCAAAAAATTATGTCAATATACTTATATAGGTATACTATACATAAAAAACTCTCTTATAGCCAACGTAGACCTTAAAAAAAGAAAAAGCAAAATTAGGCTATACAAAAAGACCAAAGATTCTACGTTGCATTATATTTAATTACATTAACCTATAGTTGATTATCACATAAATGTTGACACCTTGAACACTATCAAGGGACTTTGTAATTATGTCTTAAATTCATCCTTATATTCTTCATTTTGACTAATATCTTATATTATATATTTTTATTATTATAATGAATGATTCGATTATACACTGAATAATGGGTCGATATAGTCGATACTTTATCGATACTGCAAATGCTTCACCAATACAATGGTTAGTCATACAACGATTTTGTGATGTTACATAAAGCTGAATAGGGTTGGGGCGATGGGTCGTTAATCACCGAGGCTTTACAAGACTTTGTCGATCGCGAACGATGACCAATTGACGATGGTTATGTTGAAAGCGATGGTAATGTCTTGCCTTGGCTACATTGACTGTGACCATCGATGCTTAATGGGAAGACAAGGCCAATCTCAGCTCTGACAATAACGACGACGATCACAACCATTGACGCTCATTAGGATGGCAATGATGACCTCCTACCCTATCTGTGAAGGCCATCGTGTCCATTGAGGCCCGATAGGAAAACAATGGCTATGACTCTTTTGATCGCTAAGTTAGGCAACGTCGTTTCTATTGTTGATAATAATTGTGACCAATGACAAAAAAAAAGTTAGCACCATCGATCTTTTCTATGTTCTTATTGCATTTGTTGAATGACGTTTAGTGGGATAATTTGAAAAAGAAAAAAGAGTCAATCTAGATCTAATTTGAATAAATCAAATAGTTGATTTTATTTTAAACTGGTATGATTTATAATTTATATCAACGAATCATCCCAAAAAAATCCAAAATCAAATAGAATCAAATATTATACATTATTATTTAATTTTATGAAAGATATTTTGCTCATATTATGAAAAAAGAAACATCCTTTGATAAAAATTAGACATGAAAGACGTTATATGCTAAAATCTCATTATTGATATTTTTTTTGGGGGTAAACTGCCCATTTTAATATGATGTATTTTTATTAACTTCGAATATGTACGAGAGATAATTGCTATGCTCCCCAAGAAATTGCTGTCCACAAAATAGTATAAGAGAGCGGCTCGCATGAAGACAAAACATGGAGAGAGCTCCATCTTTATCCTCCTCGCTTGGAAGCTCTCACACCCCATCTGAACCACCTGCTCTCTCTCCTCTCTCTCCTCCCTCAATTGTCAAAGAAGTCCGCAGATAATGGACCGAAAGCGGTGAGCAAGCTCGAGATATAGAGAGACTTCACCAGCCACCAACCTTCACCTCCTTCAATCTCAGTTCCTCTCTCTCTCTCTCTCTCTCTCTCTCTCTGTAAGCTATTCTTCCTCTTTTCTCTGCTTTCGAAGTCCAACCGCAAACAAATAGTCCCTCACCACCGCCTCCTCCCTCTTCTTCTTCGCCCATATACTGTCCTACATAAAAGATAAAGCCCTTTGAAGCTTCCCGCTACAGTTTGCTTGAACTGTTTTATATTCTTAGGACCTCTCTCCGGCAATATGAAGGACAAACTCTTTCAACACCATTATCTGCAACAACATCAGCAGCAGCAGCATCAGAAGAGCTTATCTGATGAAGTCGACAGCAGCAAAAGCAGCGGCGAGAACAAGAAGGTAAAATTCGATGAGCAGAGGGAGCGAACAGGAGGGGATGGGTCCACCATCGAGGTGGTGAAGAGGCCGCGGGGCCGGCCGCCGGGTTCCAAGAACAAGCCGAAGGTGCCGGTGGTGATCACCAGGGAGGAGGAGCCCTCGGCAGTGATGCGGCCTCACGTGCTCGAGATCCCCGCCGGGCACGACGTGGCCGACTCGCTCGCAAGATTCTCCCAACGCCGGAACCTCGGCATCTGCGTCCTCTCCGGCATCGGTGCCGTCGCGAACGTCACACTTCGCCAGCCGCATCTAGGCCTTGTGCCCCAGCCTGCAGGGGCGCCGGCCACTATCGTGTTTCGCGGGCGGTTCGAGATCCTGTCCATCACAGGCACGTTCCTCACGCCAGCGATGGCGGAGGTGTCCCCCGCCGCCGCATCCAGCCTCTCGATCTCTCTGGCCGGGCCTCAAGCACAGATCGTGGGGGGCACAGTGGCGGGGCCGCTGGTGGCCGCGGGAACGGTGGTGGTGGTGGCGGCGGCGTTCTCCAACCCCACCTTCCACAGGCTCCCGGCGGAAGACGACGTGTCGGCATCCGTCTCAATCACCGGCGGAGGCGGTGGCGGCGGCGACATGGAGGATCAGGACCAGCACATGTACAATCAACAACAGAAGCAGCAAGCCCATCGCCAGCGACGCCACCAAGTTCTGGCGACAACAGCCTCTGCTGCAATGGCCGTGGGGTCGAGCGGGATGTCCGTTTACAGTGGTGGCCACGTCCCGTCTGATGTCATATGGGCGCCTACGGCCCGCCCGCCACCTCCGCCGCCCTACTGATGCTTCGCTTCATGCGATCCCTCCCATTTTCTTAAAGACTCCAAGACTTGAATGTTCTTTGTTTCTGATCTCAATAGTCTAAGGCAAAATTTTCTGCTCTTTTAGCTTGGTTGGTTGTCATGGTTACAGCACCGTGTCTAAAGGCAAAAGAAAGTGAAACTTATTTCTCAGTTTCGATTTATATATTTCATATTGTTCTTGTCTCCTGTGTTAAATTTGTAGAAGCCTTCTATTCAGCTTGTTTGGATTGCTACAGTTGCACCTGCTGTTTCATAGATCGTTGTTGGTTTGTAGCGTTTGGTTCCCTTGAGTTGGAGATGATCAAGGCATTGGAGGAACACAACAAAGTCCTTAGCCATTGTGTTGGTCAAGCAAGGTTGCATGCATGGGTAGGCGTAGAGTCTCCTTGTCACCTTTCTGTAAGTAATTTGGCGAAATGGGGTCCCCTTCTGTGATCTCTTTTCTAATCTTTGGTGTTGTCGTGGAAATGGGGTTCCCTTATGTGATCTCTTTTCTAATCTTTGGTGTTATCGTAAAAAGAGAGAGAGGGAGAGGGAGTTGAATGGCTAGGGTTGCTTCTGCAAAGTGGGGCTGAGGTTGCAGCACACCGGGGAGATACGCACGCGATCCACTTTAGCTCTTATTTTTCTCTTGCGTGCTTCCCTGTGTCTTCCGACTGCGTCAATGGTACACACATCTGATGGATCTTTGGCAGAGACGAGAGGAAGTGTGTACTTTTTTTTGACTTGAATGGCTGGGTGGAAGGGGATAGGCTTTAGCCTTGTGGATGAAAGCTGGTCGCCTCAAAAGCAGCGAACGCCAAAGCGAGGTCAGGAGCAAGACAAAACAAAACCTACTTTCTTCTTAAGAGGCAGGAAGGTTGTACTTTGGCCTTCTGAAACATATCTACGAGGAAAGTAAAAGCTTTGAACTGAAACATATCACGTACACTCCTTTCCCTCTCTCTCTCTCTCTCTCTCTCTTTTCTTTTGCTTTTGACGAGATGAGCGCGGGCGGTGGGATGGATTCATTGCTTCCTTCATATGTCCACTGGGTACAAAAGAGATCTCTTCTGCAACCAAGCAAGCTTGTGGCAGAGGCATGGCTGGCTTTGCTTCCAAGTTGCATCTCGGAACAGCCTTCTCCTTGGAAAGGAAGGGAGGATGCATTCCATGGGGAGGCTGCTGGATCCCACATGTTGGCAGTAGCTAGCAGGTGGTGCCCTTCCTTATCATCAGAGAAGTGTGTTGTGAGATGGATTGTGATGACAGCATTTCTCCCAGTATTTTGGTTTACCATTGTTTCCTATTGATACTGTTGCGAATGGAAATTAATACTGGTTCAGGTGCTCTCGAGTTATAGAAACATATGGTCGATCAAGTTATGGTGATGACTATATATATATTACAATATATTACAATCACTTGATGGAACATGGTCACTGCTTTATAGAGGGCATTCTAGTTCTTCATATAAGGTTCAACATTACTCACTGGGAATCGGAGGAACAATGAAATCTAACAGGCAAAAATCCAAATGCAAATAATAAGACTGACCAGTTTCCCAAAGACTAATTAAGCTAGTGGGGAAGGTTACATGGAAGATAGTTCATGAATGTTAGCCAGATCAGAGGTTGCACAAATAATTATCCCCATATTTCATGTATCAAAATCACTACAATATTTTTACAGGAAACTCCATGCTAATCATTTGTCCTTTCACAACTTTTAGTATTGTTCTTCCAAAAAAAAAAACAAAAACAAAAGGAGAAGTGATTATCAAAATAATCCTTTCCTCCATGGATCATTTACTAGTCTTATTAATTGCAGTGGGCGATGCTTTCTCCCTAATCGTGAATGCAAACTCGCAGATCGCCTCGGTGCTGTTGTTTGCACGAATGTTTGCCTCGTCTCTTGGAACGGGTTGACGCTAAAGGCGACGATTCTGATGTGGTGTTGAGTATCACTGTGTCAGCCTTTCTGTCTTCTCGCGTGGGGTGCATGCATGGGGATGGATTTGGATCGTCATGTTCACACCACCAACGAGACCTCGAGGGCGCCGCGTCATCAACTCGGTTAACCTAATGAACAGACAGCGAGAGATGGAAGGAGACGGGCGCTGCAGAGTGGGTGGTCGCATCCAATGCCTCCGTCTCCTCCGCTGTCCTCTCACCCGCCCACCCTTTTCTCCATCCACACTTCTCCCCCTCAGTCCACTCCCATGCTGTCGGGCACTCTGAACCTGGTCACCCACCTCCCTCTCCCTCTCTCTCTCTCTTTCTCTCTCTCTCCCTCCGCGGAAAGCTATTTGTGTCAGAGGTCGCATGTACTACGACACTGCTTACTTAGGGAAAACACCACAGCCACACTAGTTCAACCTCCGGTGTCCCACAGATTTGAAATCTTCACCAAATAGCGTATAAATCCTTCTCCTATCTGAGATCATGTTGGGAGTGTCGAGGAGTTCTTGTGTGCATGCAGGATCCTTTTGGATCACTTGCAGGCCCACACTGCAGCTCATGATCATGCCAAACTTGGCCATGGACTGAGTTAGAAGCCATTTATATGCCGATCCGACCTAACTGGCTGCAGATTCTCCACAGCTGTTTGTAATTCTGACTGCAATTATTCTGATCACATGAAATTTCTTAGATGAGAGGAAACAAGCCATAGTTACCGCCGTATAGCCATTGACATCTAATGACCTATGTCTCTTCCTCTTTATTTTCCTATTGCATTAACAATGTGCACTTGAACTGGTTTAAAAGTGATCATGATATTCGATGAGGTGATGTTATATCTCCTTACCTTTTTTTTTTTTTGTCTTTGTCCAACAATCCATTTTTGTTTCATTTTGGATAACTTCTTTGGTTCAACTTTGTATCTTATTCTCTTTGATTGGCTTTCATATAAATAGGATAAATTTGCTCTCTTCTTTCCCGAGCACTGTGTCATCTCTGTTAAACATAAACTATGTGATCTTTTAAGGATTAATAAGAGCTGCTGGTCCATTACATATAATTTTATGCTTATGGTCCCTATATCATTTAGATAAGTAGCATTGCAATGCAAAGATATTATTAATCAAAGTACTATACTAGTTGAGAGTTCACAATCAGGTGTGACATCTCCTACCTTGATGAAATGTATCAATGTGTTTCATATGTTCTATCACCAAAAAAAACACCATTATTTCACTCGTTCTAATGCAAGAGAGTCATCATTAGTGATTCAGATAATGGTGATGAAAATAGAGTTAGGTCGATTGGCATTTCAGATGACTGTTTTGCCATTTTCAAGATAGAAATAATTTTCGATTTCTTGACAATGAGTTAGATATTTTTACCTCCTTTATTTAATTTACTAAACTGGGTTTTCATATCCTTTGATTGTAAAATATGATATTTATTTCAAATAAAATTATTTAATCGAGTGCTCATTCACCATCTAAAGCAGACAATTCCTCACAAGCTTAAGCTTATGATGAGATTATGATGAAAGAAACCGATATAACTAAAATTCTCGAAAGCTTATTTTTTATTTAAAAACAGCATGTGGGTGGGACCACTTAACAACAATATACTCAACAACCCTAATTCTTGAAACATACCAAAAAATTATAATTATATTTATAATTATAATTCATGAAACATACCAAGATCATGTTTTTATTTATTTATTTATAAATCTGTCTAACAAAAGTATGAGAGTTAATAAAATATAATTGGTACATAATTATAATTACGTTAGTAGCATTCAACATAGTTATACTTATAATCATTAGGTATCTGTAAATTTTATTCTATTGGTTTTAGAACATGACTAATTAGGTAGGTTTCTGAACCTACTTCGAATTCGAGTTTGGTATTTATACTATTTGTATCTGTTCCAGTTGATTAACATATATAACTTAATCCAATTTAAGCATATCATATTGTATTTATTTCTCAATCATCCAACTTTTCAGGTACTCGATACTCTTTATCTCACTCGAATTCTAATCGCTCCCGTTCGATCGCGCTCTCTCCCTCGGGCTCGTCGGCCTCTCCTCCCTCGCTTGTTCCCTCTCCCTCCCTCCGGCCCTCGTCTCTCGCTGCACCCGTGCACTCACCCGCTTGCTCTCTACCCGCCTCTACCACCTACCACCGTTACATTACCCTTCCCGCCTCCCCGGATCGTCTCCTCTCCACCCTACAGTCCTTCGAGGGCCTCACCGCCCTCCCCAACCTCGCCGCCGCCATTGCTTCCTTCCCTGTCCACCTCCGACTCCGACAAACCCCACCCTCATTCCCACCCTTCCGATCCAAAGTCCGACCCTGTCCCTGGCAACGACCTCCTCCGTTCCCCCAACCTCCCCTTGCTAAAGGTCAGGCTGCATCAGTGGAGGCTGCGATCGCGTTGCTCAAAGTAAGATGGAAGATACTTCGGAACCTCAACGTAGGGCTTGACCATGCTGCCCAGACGGTGGTCGCATGCGTGGTGCTGCACAATATGTGTCAGTTTACCAAGGGGCCAGAAGACGAAGGAGGGTACATGTGGAGGGATTCGCTGGAGAGCCCTCAGCTAGCCAGCCTGGTGGATAGCGAGCGATCTCTTAACTACTTGGGTGAGAGCTTGAGGGAGGCATTGGCGGAAGATCTCTATGAGGAAGCTTGTCTCAGGAGCAAGGTAAATAATTGTGCAGGTGAGGAAAAATAAAAAAAAAGCTTGTGATTAGCTGAGCTTAATTTTTCTTTACTTGAATTTTGTCGGCTCAACCTTGGGCATTATCGGAAACCGTACTCGCTTGTTCTTTGGCTAATTTCTTGTCTATATTAGGTTTCTTATATGTTCTACTGGTGGGTTGTAGATCTTCTAATTGTCACTGTTGTCTGCAATTTTTATATGAGTCTAAAGTGAACTAAACAATGACGTTTCCACATGTTTGATTTATTGGGCCTTGCACATAAATCATGGTTGTTAATGTCAGGCAATAACCAAATACCCATTTTTTCTATTGCTAGTTTTGGAGGCTTGCTCAATTGTTGCTAATGATCTTAGTCTTTGGTCATAAGATATTTTTGGGTTTTGAGGCTTCCGCTTTGGACCCCTCAGTAGCACAGACAACAAGATCAAACTCGGCAGTTGATGATTACATTTCTTAGTGGTCTTTTTTCTGTAATCTCTTATCTTTCTTTTGCTTTCTGAGGCATATGAAACTAGATACAAGGATCACATGACAACAACAGTTGGTGAACACCAAAATCTATTTCAATTGGAGAATTCCAGTAGAATAAGGTCGAGGTCAAACACATTAGTGTTTTTCCGGCCTCTGGGATTAGAAATTCTATGGAGTACTTGGTATTGTTGTTGCCTTTTCCATCCATTGGGATTTAACATGGATCCACCATTTGATGTGAATCATTTTTGTTGTTAAGAGTGAGGAGATGAAGATAGTCTTGATTGGAGAGTCTGGCAATAGATTTTTTCTGCTTAATTCTCTCAATCTCTGGCTTCCAATTGACCAAGATTGTTTTTGGACCAGTTGTTAGGATGCAACTTCATGTCAAAGACAAATTGGTTCCAGTTTATAAGACCACTGGTAGTGGAATGGACGAGGTCCTGCAGAGTTTCTTAACAGTGATGTGACCAATCTTTTTAGTTAGCCCAATAGGCATCATACCCAAAGAGAGTAGGAGATCTGTGATTCTTGGTGACGGTGTCAAATTCAATCAGAAGGGGGGCATCATCATCAGAGATCTTGCGAAGATGCCTAATTTTAACATCATGAAAGAGAGAAAGTTAGTTGTTATTACCCGGAGCCTTATCAAGGCAACTCAAATTCTGGAGCTAACAAATCTTATTCCAAGTATATTTACAACATTTGAAACCCAAATCGATTGAACAAAAGCAAAATCAAAATTTCTGAAATTGGTAAACAACTGATTCAATTGAAATTGTTTACCACCCATTTTTTCATCAATAGAGCAAATGCAATTAAAATTACCACATATAAACCAAGGCACAAAACTTAAATTGTTAATAGAAAAAAATTTCCATAAATGTCGACAAACAAAAGCTTTAATATTAGCAATAGATAGCTGAGAGAAGCCAGAATCTCTTACCGTGCTCTTGATGATTATCCAGCTCTTAGTAAGTCTTAATATATATGATTAATCCTTACTTCAAAATTTTAGCTTTGGTTAATCAAACAATATGATGGTCAAGTTTCTTGATCTATGAGAATAATATCTTTGCATAATCATTCTTTTTTAACTTTTGGTTTTGAATATTAACTTTTAAATTTCTTAGAGTTCATGTCAGCATATTGAAAATATTCAAACAATATTTTGTTGGAAACATGGTACGTGTTCCATGTAATTTAACTGTCTATTTCAGCAAACTCATCACTAATTGGATGCTTACTTCTCACTGGAAAGTGGTGTTCCCTATGGAAAATCACTTGATTTTGATGCAGATGAATCAAAACTTGATCCTATGAGAGTCCTAGGATTTATTAAGTTCAGTCAATTAAATCTGACTATTTTTGATTGATTTTGTTATTGTTATTTTTAGAAAGGATTGCTATTCAATGACACAGGCACACGCTTACGGCTTCCTGGCATGGCATGATTATCAGGCACCTGTAACATCTGCCACAGGCCTATGATAGCCATGTGTCAACATCTTTGACATAGACTGGCGCGACATATGTCACCTTTCTAACATGCTATGTTTCTACCCATGTCAATCAGTAGGATGATCCTTGATTCTTAATGTATTTATTTGGATTGCACATTCTTATTTCTAGTTGTGGTAGGTATAGAAGGGAGAGAGTTCTCAAGCCATTGGGAATGTAGATTAGGTAGTTCTAAGATTTCCCATTATCTAGGACTTGGTGGTAATAGGAATTTTATGTTATGTAAAAATCTTGCCATGTAGATTTTCCAGTTTTAGTAATTCAGAACAAAGCCTAGAACAGCCACCTCAATCTGTACAGAGAGGTGCAATCGGCAAAAATTGGTCTGAGTGTATGTTTGATTTTGAATAGAATGGAAGGCAATTTGCAGTCTAATGAAAAGAACAGGGTGATGTTAATTTGAATGCAAAGTAGCTAACAATCATTGGTCTGATATATAGGAACCAAAAATAGATACCACTGTCAATCTCTGAATATCACAGTAGGATCATTGCTTATTAACATTAACCTCTTATTGGATCATATATGTTAAAGAACCGAAATGAACTGGTTGACCCATTTGATTTTTGGAAATCCACATGAACCAATCGGATTAAATAAATCAATATGGTTTTGTAATATAGTTAAGATTCCTTAAATACCCTTAGCTTAAATTTTCTTATTATTTATTTTATAGGATATTTACATCAATTTTGAATTGGAGTTAAAGGTGAGAAAGAAAATGACCTTTATTATCTTATCACTTCTTTTCTTTATTCGCTCTCCTCCATCCATCTCTCCCCTCTCTTCCTACTCATCTCCTTCAATCATTGTTCTCTCAACACATCTACACTCCCATGTCTTCTCTTCGCCTTCTCTCCCCATTGTCACCCCTCTTTTTATGTCTTAACCCCTCTTGTACTTATATTTTCTTCGTTTAGTAATCTATGATCCCATTCTCTTCTCCAATCACTCGTTCTTATGGTCATATACAATTTGTCATCTCTTCTTGTTATACTTCGATTTATTAACATAAGCATACTTTAACTTTCATCCTACATATATTTTACATCCATATCAGTCCATGTCATTACTTAAGCAATTGAACTGTATATTCACTTTTAAACCTTTTAAAAATTATCATGCATTATTTAATTATGATAAAATTTTCTTTTTTGATGATGGTTGATGTTATTATCTTAATTATATTCCACATGACTGAAGTGTTTTTTTTTCATTTGTATAAGATTGTTTATTTTTTTATTAATTTTGATATTTTAAAATTTTCATCATTTTATATATTTTTATTTATTTGTAATTAAACATGCGATCCAACCACAAACTCAGTGACCCAAGATTTGATCGGATTGCTTTTTGGTATGGTTCTAATTGGTTGAAAAGTGTTTTCAATAAAGGAAGTCTATCTTATAGCTAATCCTTTTTTAAAGCTATGGTTGAATTTTAAAAGGATTGATTTTTGAGTCTATATTAGTCAACTGAAAATTAGGAGCATGACCAAAGAGATTGTTGGGGAATCTAAAGATAGAGGTGCAGTCATCAGAGAGATGGTTTAAGGAAGTCTAAATGATAGGATCACAAAAATATCTATATGTTTTTTTTCTTTACTTTGATAATGAACGAACTTACTAATCACATACTCTTTAGACCACATGGTGTATTTATATTCCGACGATATTATTTTTATTTGATGATGATTTAAATGAAATTACTTCTAAATTTAAGTTATTAAGGTAAACTCTAAAATTAAATATTTTAAATAAATTAGGACTAAGACTAAATATGTAAGATATAATTTTAATAATATTAAAAAATTAATTAAGAGTATAGTTAAGTTTGATGGATCAGAAGTCTCAATATGCAAAAGTTTTAGGTATTGTGAATTGACTATTCAACAAGATGAAAAAATTGATGAAGATATTGTTGATATTTGTACGTATAGAGTGGAGTGGGGTGTTAGAAGTGTCATGTGATATGAGCATCTTTTAAATTGAACAAAAAAACTATGACATAGTGATTAGGTCAATAATACTTTATGGATTTCAGTGTTGGGCATGTAACAAGGAATATATACAAAACGTTTGTATTACTGAAATGAGAGACTTATAGATATTATAGTCAGAAAATATGAGATAATTAATATTCATGGTATAAGGAGACTATTAGAAACTGTAAATAAAGATTATAATGTTTTTAATTTAATTAAAGATATAAACATTTGTAGAATTCAATGGCCACTAATGATCCATATAATCGACCCCAAATAGTTAAGACATTACATTTTTGTTGTTGTTGTATATTCATTTGAAGGGAATAGTGTTTGTATGGTTGAGATTGCAAGAAAGTTTCTTTTGGTTGGAAACCTTCACAGTATTTTCCATTGCTTATCTCTTTCTTTCTTTTTTACTTTCTTCTCTTGAGTTTTGCATGCAAGAAATCTAGTTGTTGAATTATGTGGACAGCTAGTTGTAATATTCTTCTTTCACTATTAGCATACAAGAACACATTTTGATCTGAGTTGTCCTAAAATTCTTCTAAGGATTTGCCAATTATTTTAAGAATCCATAATTGTTTGTCATTACATCTTCACAAAGCAAAAGATGAGATGAATATGATGAACGAATTATGTAATGTAACTATTAGGATGCACATGCGAGCTAAGTTATGCATCAACTTTCTGTTTGGTTTCCCTGGATCCAAGGTCAGGATATCTGGGTTTGGAAAAGTATACATACTTACATAAGGAGGATGAAGAAAAGGCTTATCCTTATCTCAAATTCCATTGAAAGTCAGTATTCGGTGAGATCAGAAATATGCTCTCTCTCTCTCTCTCTCTTTCTCATGTTTTCGTTACCAGCGAAAGGTGATCCTGAACTGTACATGGCAAATTATTCAACATTCTGTCATAGGCATCCTCTTGACAAGCCTCTCAGAGAGGGAACAAAGTACTGCTAGTGGTTGTACAAAGGTGGTCTGCCATTTATTTTATGACAAAAATTGGTGTAGGTTAGCATGTGAAAGTTCCTCTATTACATGGTGTTATCTTTGTCCAATTAACTTTCATTGCTTCTGAATTATTTTGAGTTTGAAATTCCATAAACTTATTTGTGTTTGGTCCCGGAAAGTTTGTTGGAGTTAGAAATGATTGGTATACTAAGGGAAAGTGAGAAGGATATTGATCCATCAATGACTACGACAGGCCATGTGATTTAAGATCACAAAAACTGGAGGATTTGTTTCTAGGATTTCAAAGAGAATATTTGTTTATGTCCTTTGTCTTCTAACATCACAACTTTTTGTGGTTGTTTTGACAGTCAAGAAAGATAATGGAGTCATCATGAGATTGTCCTGGTCCAGGTCTATCATGCTATATTAGCCTATTTCTATATGGTGGTGTTTAATTTCTTGTGAAAACAAGTCAGATTCAATCAATTGACGATATCAGGTTATGAATATACGTAATGCACCTACTGCTGTGAATATATAGATGAGTAATGAAAGCTTGATCAGCCAGGTATTGGAAGAGACCAATTCAAATTCTTCATATTTATTTTAGGTTTAATGTTCTGATAGATGTCAAAAACCCCAGCTATATCTTGAATTGATTCCCGTGATAGAAATGATGGAGATTCGAGTTGGACTGGTGTCTTAGTTATCGTCTTATTTATATGGTTCTGAATTTTGTGAATTATTTTGATGATGCAATAAGACAAGGGGCTGTCACCCGTTGGAGATCTCAGTTTGATTGAAAAACTCCTAAGAGCTTGTAAAGGAAACAAACTAGTCATTAACGCTAATAGCAGCTATATCCTTGTGCCAAAGATCATATACAAATAAAGGTTTAGTCGATCTCTATCTGCTATACAGTGTCCTTAGCTAATCTCTTGTTACTTTCAATAGTTAGGCAGGGGCATTAGAGCAACATACTGTTAGCCCCCCTAATCATGGTCATCTTCACCAAGTCCAGAAGAAATGCACACACAGGCTTTCGATTCAGCTAATTAGAAAGGAAAAGAAATTATGGACCACAACTGCTTTTTTATGATGCAACATTTCGAAGATAGCGCTTTGTGGTCAATCAAATAGTTTGTCATGACACCCGGGTAATACATAATTGCAATTTTTAATGATGACTGCAATTCAATGATTAAGTTTTGAGCGTGTGAATCTCACTTTTGCTTGCATGTTTTTTTTAATGTAAATCTTTGGGACCTTGATTTATAGTAATTAATTACACTCATTTGTAGCCAACAGGGACATCATTTATTGGCCCCATTGCTAGCTGCAATCTAATTGGTGATTCTGTTGCCACGCCATGAAGGGGACCTGCAGGACCACTCAGTGAGGGGACCGGGCTACTCATCTTGTGTGATCGATATTTCACGGTATCTCCTGCACTTGTGAATGAAGCTTCTGGCACGTTGCCATGAGACAACTGTTCTCCACTATAATTCTGACTCCTTTACTTTCACCAACTGAGTTCACAATGGGCATCTCTTACACTTGCGAAAGCGGCAGCCGGGACCTCATCAATGGCTTCTGTTCTCCCAGACATGGTTCCAGCTATACTATTCATTCCACTTGAGTTGTCAATTGAGGCACCTTTTGGATAAGGAAAGCTTGGGGAAGATACCCTCTCCAGAATCACGATAAGTTCCTTGGTGATCTTTGTGCACAGTTTTCTGTAGCTTTAACTTATGTGGATTCCACGAAAGGGACTGGTTGCAACATTATCCAATTTATTATTTTGTTGCTATGGTTTTATTGCTTTATGTCAAAGGGTAGGGGGTTCTGTAGTTTTGCCCGTCTCAACAAGTGTTTGTATCATTTGCCATGGAACCCCTTCCCCCTCCTCCCCTCCCCTTTCCTTTTTGTCTTCATCATGGGATGACCTTGAAATGGCATTTTCAATGACCTCATCATGTTTGTGTTATCAAGATGTTGCTGAGTTTTCTCACAGGGAGAAACAAGTTAATTAAAAGAGACTATTGAAATATCTCTTGTGATCACATGAATGAAGATAATTGTAATTTTTAGAATTTAGTGAGGATAGAGAGATTATATCATGATAGAAATCACAAGGTTATGAAAAATGATAAATTACTAGTAAATTAGATAGATTACCTACAATAAAAATATATAAATATAGTTATAAAAATTGATTTTTGTAATTTTCATCTATATTTTATAAATAGAAACTAATCTTTAAAAAAAATTAGTAGGTTGTCTTAAAAAAGATAATTATAAAAATTAAAGCATTCAAATAAATATGTTGATGATAACTTTAGTAGGAACAAGAAGACGCTCTTACGTATCTACCAAGGGTTAAACAAAAGCATAGCATGGATCATAAGAAAATATTACATGGATCAAACAATGAATAGTACCCTACATCAAGCCTGAAAAATATGATTTCCCAAGAGGCATGGATCAAAAGAAAAATTGAGTATCTCACATTTCAAGGTATTTAGGCACATTGGTTTATCTACATGTATATGATCAAAGAAGAATCAAGTTGGAGGACGATAAGAGCTTCAAACTTATCTTTATTTGGTATAACATTAAATTCAAGACCTATAAATTATTTTATCCTAATAATTTAAATATTATTATAAACATAAATATAAGCAAACAAAGTTTAAAATTATTTCACCATCTTCACCACCATCATCATCGACCCTATAAATAGATGAGTTTTATCATATAAAAATATTTTAAAATATAATATATATATATATATATATATATAAACTTATCTAAAAAATTTAATTATCTCTTATTTCATCCCTCTCAAATCTTCCTTCCTCTCTCTCTCTCTCTCTCTCTCTCTGTCTCTCTCTATTTATTTATTAATTATTATTTTTCCCTTTCAAGCCCAATGTTTTCAATGGTCAGAATCATAATAATTCACAAAGGCGTCTGCTTTTGTGCAGGTACCCAAATTTTGTTCTGTAGCACCTCTAAAGCATGACCCGTTTCCTTTTCCCTCAAAAGTCGAATGATTGATAGCTCCTCTGTTCTCCCCAAAAATATCTCCTCATAATGGTTTAGATTCCGCAAATTACAATTTTACCTCTTCCGTCCTATCACCGCTTCAACTTCGGCCGCAAGCAAATGTCACGACGGACACGAAAACATAAATCATCACCGACATCATACTCAAAAGCGAATCACAACACAAATCGTGTGCACCCGAAAATGACACGACTCGTCGTCCACAGCCATATGCTGCGTCATTCCCTCCCCCTTCGTGCACTAACCAATTCCCATGGACCCAGCAATCATTGATACATAGATTCATGGAATCGTTTCTTACAGCGTCTGCAATCAATTCCACCCCCTACGATTTATAGTACCTTAACACCACAGATTCATGGAATCGTTTCTTTTACAGTGTCTGCAATCAACTCCACCCCTCCGAATTATACTACCTTAACACCCTACTAAGCTCCTCCGCCACACCAAGACGCGCGAGCTTTAGGTAGACGATCGCAGGTCGATCTCCTGCGTCCATGCACCCTTGTCCTGCACATGAATGTGCCAGTATGTCTGTGCCAGTGCATCTGGATCCATTGACGTCGTGCTATGATCGCCTCTTGATGATCTGATACAGCACCCAACGCAGTGGTAAAATAAGGATCAGTAGCTTTGTCTTTGTTTGCGAGGACGGAAGCTGACCTTGGAGCGCCGATATCCCCGTGGATGACTACATGCGCGATGTGGATTCCGGATGATTGGTACTCCTTTGCGAGGCTTTGGGACAGGCCCCTCAGAGCAAATTTCCCACAACCTGCAACATTAGCATGAGGACCACTGAGGATTGCAATCGATCACAAGGATTCCCTTTCATGTTTTTTTGCTTTGCTTTGGATCGGATACTCTTACTTAGTCCACAGTAGCCTGCAAAGCCACTAAGGGACACCGAAGAACCGGTGAAAATTATGGTGCCTCTGCCCCTCTCGACCATGCCGGGAATAACCTTCATCGAACAAGGTTGCCGAGTTCATCCAAAGGTTTGTGTGGGGGATGCATAGGTGAGCAGATGTGTCGGTGCATGCCTACCTGCTGCGCGCAGTGGAAGGCTCCGACGGCTGAGACGGCGAGGGAGCGCTCGAAGGACTCGACGGTGATGGCGGTGAAGTTGGTAGGGGGGCACGTCACGGGCGGCTCGCACGCATTGTAGACCAGCACCTCGACGAAGCCGAGCGAGAGGACGCCCTCGAAGGCCTCGCGCACCGACTTGGAGTCGGAGCAGTCGATGCGGATGGCGAACACCTGGGCCTTGGCCTCGCAAGCGATCTCGTCGGCGAACCGAGATAGCTTAGCTGCAAGCAGACAAGGAAGGGGAACGGAAAAGGGGGAGCGTCAAACTCGACGGGCAGAACGAGAGCAAGGGGAGAGAGAGGAATCGCTTGCCGAGATCCCGGGCGAGAATGGCGACGGTGTAGCCTTCGTGGGCGAACTTCCTGGCGACGGAGCGGCCCAGCTTGGGGCCGACGCCGACGATGGCGGCGATGCCTTTGGGGGAGGTGGAGCACGACATGGACCGCATGTTGGCAAGGTGACATGAGGGGAAAGGTTTAACTTTGTGCAAGAGATAGGGGGAGGTGGCGGTGGTGGTGTTGGTGGGGTGGGGAGATGAGGATGTGGATTGGCTGCTCGTGGACATACACGACTACCTTTTGAGGCCGAAATGAAACGCTGGAAATGGAAAAGCTCCATCTTCTTCGCTTATATACGCCCCTTCTCTTCATCATGTCATATCATGCTTGATTCCACCCCACTAATTCATGACGTGTGGTGCGAGCTTCCACCACATGGCACCGAAGCCTTCTACGTGTTACACTCGGTTGGGAGGAGGTCTAACTTGACCAACACCCAACCTCGAAGAACACAGATCAGAGGAGGCGCTTCAGCCATGCACGCAGCGTAGGACATTGGCTTGCTGATCAGCATCAGCTTAAAACACTGTTTTAGCATCTCCTGAATGCATCAACTCGTTGCATATTTTCCGGTAGATTGGCTCGCAGTAAATGAAGCCGAAGTGGAAAACAAAGACGGGAGAGTCGAAAGAACATTAATGGAGCCATCCGCATGTAGTCTGCTCCATGTACGGGAAAGAAAACTAAGCCTTGTACGGGAAAGAACGAGTTTAGTGAAATTTCAAGCAGTCTCTCCTCTAGTAATACTTAATTTATGGGATTGTATTATGATGGACTCAACATCCACAAATCTCTCCCTATTTATGCTTATTTAATTTATGCGCGAACTAAAATTCCCTTTCATCGATTATAATTTTCTTCCTCTTTTCTAATAGGAAATTAAAATACCAAAATATTTTTTGACATCATTATACATAAACATATATAATCTGGTCATTCACTTTGGTCACTTTGGGTTATTTGATCTGCTTAAATATTCCTTAATCAAGTTCAGGCTGAGTAACAAAAAGGAAAAAAAATACTTATTAATCTCCTCAATTTTGATTCCTCAATCATCCTTGATTGCTAACACTTAATGACTGATTTGGTTCGATTGTGGCTTGAATCCGTCAGATCTATCTGCCATGAAGAACACGCATGTTTGAATTCAAATTGCATGTTCTGTGGGTGGAAATAATGCCAAGGCAACGAGCCTTTGGCTGTCATGCTTTCGGCGTCAAATGGTCGAGCGTACGTACCAAATGGACATTTAACTGACTTCCAGCTGTCTGGGCCATCGCCAGCACCGATCTCGATGACGCCTATCATAGCTACGCACGAATCTCAAAGTGGTCATCCTTGCCACTCGGAGAAGATGCTGGTCGAAGCTGACCCCTCTCTTCTCAGCATTCGCTGCTTCTGCGCAGCGAGCCCTTCCGCTGTAAAGGAGAAGGGACAGCTGGAACCCATGGCTGCGGAATGATCAAGGATGCTGCAGGGCAACGTATGCGGCAAGCGAAACAATGCATTGATATTGAAGAACTATCCAACCACAACGAATCTCTCTCTAGAAGGCTAAGTAGCAGTACGAGCAACAGCACTGTTCGTAATCGACACACCGGACAACAACCATTCGGAAGAAGCTAGCTAGGGAGATAACAAAGAACTCTCTCCGACTCCAGACAGCTCGGTCTCAACTAAGGGCACTTGGGCCTCCTCCTGACGCCCTCCCCGGTGTACTTGTCCCTGTAGCAAGGGCACTCATCCTTGTTACCGTACGTCCCCGACGGCACACACCGGCAAGCCTCGCAGCACAACCCACAGACCTTGATGCACCGGTCTTGCAGACTGGCCTTGGAGCACCTCACCTTGCACTTGGAGCCGCAGAATGCTGAATCCAACCCAAGAAACAAACAAGTTGAAAGCATTACATATAAGATTTGAGTGAGAAGGGGGAGATCAGTTGAAGGTGTTCGTGTTTACCTGACCCAGCTGCCATGGTGACTTGCTGACAAGAGGAGGTGAAGAGGATCAGTACAAGTGTCAAGGTTGCAAACAGAGGCCTCATCTCCATACCAGCTGGTTTGCTACGGAAACCACTCGGTCTAAGTGATGGGGTGTGGGTCGACTGATGAGTTGGTATTTATAGAGGAAAGAAGTAAGTTACTGTGGGGGTGTGAGAGGTTTGATGAGAGCTTAAGAGGGTGCAGTAATGGGAACTAAATGGACCCGTGAACTGGCATCCAGTGGATCTCCATCACACCAGCATTCCTGATTGCTATCGCTGAGGCTTACCATCAATTACATTCAGTGCCACGAGCATCAGCCATGATACAAAAAAACCCTATCCTACCTGATGCCTGCGTCGTCTCAACATCATCACGTACCACAATGGCCGAGAATGAGGTGAGGCAATGTGGATGTGATGCACTTGTGTTCGCTGAGATTGAGTCGGTGGGATGGAGGGACACAAAGATGCAATGCTTTTCAGTGCACCAGCTGTGTCTGAGAGGTGTCGTAGTACGTCGCTGCAAGGAAGCCGATGACAGTGTACAGTTTATGCAACGCTGTGGTGCCTAGTCGCCGGGGTGGACGCTCTACCTAGGGTGCAAACATTGCGTATAGCCACAATGATTTTAATGCTTATGTAGTAGTGTAATAAATGCCACAACGAAGAACAAAGTTGCGTATAGCGTGAACACAACTAGCAATCATGCATGTAGGAGGCTATATATGAGTCTCAGAGAAGGTCACTTTAGATGACATTTGCATACATTGGACTCCACGGAGCCTATGAATAGCTCACAAGAAGAGCTGCCATGCATAGAGCGCGAATAAATTCGATGTGCTTAAGGTCCGTGAAGTCCTTGTGCATGGTACAACCAATGCGCCTCAAGAAGAACGAACATGCATTATCACAAATGTTACCAATAAACAAGCAACGTTACATTTTGATGCAAGATTCATTCAGTGCACCAAAGACTTTTACATTCCATAAAGGTTAGTTAATGCTTCACACGCATGAACAGAGTTACCCTTATGATGCTCTTCGGAATAATTATATATAGACAACCATTATCAAGATTTCTTCTTGAATTCCTTCGATATTTTCTATGTGCATGAGTTGCCCTTTGAATCCCTAAGATGCTTAAATGTTGACAACACAAAAAACCAAACTTTGTGACAACAACTAAGACAAATGTCTCGAGGAGGAGAAGGAGAAAAGAAGAAAAGTGCAACTTAGGAAGAAACATTAGAGCCTACTTATAGGGATTCTTGAGGGCTTTCTTTATAACCTTTTCCTATTATTTTTTTCTTGCTTCTGAATAGTGCAGGATTAAACGACATCTTATGTATCATAATAAAAATTAATTTTGTATTCCCTTAAAGGAAATAATAAAGAAGTGAGGGTAAGCCTATAATATCTCATAAAAATATATATTTTTAAAATAAGTAAATAAAAATAAAATAAAATATTATTAATATTTATACCGTATAGTCAATGAGATCATATGAAGTATCGTTCTTTGATCCAAACTTCAACTAGCTCGCATCGTATGAAATATATTTTTATGAGTTTATATAAATTTACAAGTATCTTATTTATTCATGAGTGATTTTAAAGATTGTTTATATCCTTAATCGTAGTCGTCTAAGAATTCTCTCATATAAAAGAGCTCATGCTAAAGATATATGTAGTCATATCTTACCAAAAAATTCACTTTAGGTCTCTTTAAGAGTTATATTCATTCTATACATTTACATATGAAGAATGAATAATTATAACACAGATAGGGGTTAGAGTTAAGCTTTATTTATGTACCAATGTATTTTTCATTTTTCATTTTTTTAATTTACACTTTGACTAACCAATAAACTTGTTAATATCATATTAAACCTCTTTTAAATTAAATCATTTCTTAGGACAAATTCAAACACAATTCTTGGTGATTTATAAACTTTTTGTATTTTATTAATTAAATTATATTTAATTTTATTATTGAGTTTTTACCCAACACATATATCTCGTGTTGCAACTTATGAAAATAACAAAAAAAAAAATATTAATTGATTCACTCTTATGAATCAATTTAAAATATTTTCCTGTGGAGTATCATATCATAGGTGAAGTGAAGTGATCAATCGAAAAAATCATATAAGTACTGTTAGTGCTATTTGGATGATAAGGCTTTGAAGATCACTTTGAAAATGTTTACAAGGGAGTCTGATTTTATAATGGATTCCACAAACTTAACCAAAGAGAGCTAAAATAGATACAATCAATATTATTATTATTTATTATACATGAACTTGTTTGAAAATATTATAATAAAAAATATAAGAGCTTGTCACCCAAAGACCTCGTAAGATCATCGATACAACTAAAATAAACCAAAAATATTCTTTGTGAGTTGAGAAATCAAAATTATGAAACCAAAAATATAATTAAATCATAACAATTATCAAAGCATAAAATCACATCATATTAACCCCTCAATTATGTTTTCCCTCGTCGATATAAAGAGAAATAAATTTTTGTATATAAACAAATACTAGCAGGTCATAACACGCAGCGGAATTAAATGGAATCACAATCAAATAGAACACCAAGATTTACGTGAAAAACTTCTCCAATGTCAAGGATAAAAATCATGAGGCAAAATATAGATAATCCACTATAAAAATAATAAATATACAAATCACAAACTCTTACTCAAAACCGTAGCAACAATCACAAGAGACTAACTGAGATACAAGGATTATGTTACTGTGTATAATATCTAAATTCTCCCCAAGTAATCACAGCAAGAATCTACTATAAATCTGATCTAACCTAAGATGATAACACTATTAGATGATTGAGAATAGTTTCTTTGCGTTGTCCTTGTTTTCTTTCTTTTTTTTCTATTTTTTTTCTCTTTCTCCTTGAATCTAGTACCAAAAACTACTTGTGGCTACAGTTTTTTTTTGCACCAAAATCACAGCCCCCGCACCCCTTAACTTTGATCTAGAGTTAGGTCAAAGGGGGGTGGGCTGAATCCACTATCGGTTATTAGCCCAACATTCTCTCTACTCGTTGACTCGAATCTTTAAAGATTAATAGTTTTGATCTCTTATAATCTATCTTCTTAAATAACCCAAAAACAAATTTTCTGAAAGAATAAATTAGAATGTAATCAAAATTTGATACAAAATGTTAGGAATTAATGCATCTTAATTATCAAACACCTTGTTTCTTTAAAGTCCAAACATAAAATAGAGGAGACGAAGATAAGAATATAAAAGGATAAAAGAATAGAAGAATTAAAGTTTATAACTCAAGTCATGGCTCTCACAGTCAGTTTTTAGATCGATACGTTTGCGCGGGCGCGGGCGCGGGCGGGGGCGGAAAACAACTATACTACTGCCTATGAGGGGGGGAGCTGGAGATCCGACGGCCCTCGTGAATTCATCAATAGCGCGCGAAAATGGATCGGATTCGGTCTCCAGAGTTCGGATCCGATACGGATACAGATTTGATAGGGCACAATCCGACCCGTTACGGTTGGTATTTCTTTCGCTTTGTGAATCCTGCTTCGGTACTCTCTAGCTTTAGGGCTCGCTCGTCTTCGTGATCCTTGGTATCTCCTCGATCGAGAACTGCGATCTCCAAGCTCGATCTTTCCTCTCGAAATAAGTTGATCCTGATCTTCTCCAACATGACAGAGGTGACTATCTCTCGCTTGCTCTTTCTCTCTTCGTTTGAATTGATGTGATTCTTCCGGTTAGGGTTTTTTTTTTCTGTATCTCTTTCCAAAATCATTTATTAAATTGGATGATGTGAAAGCTGCATAGAAGATTTGGAGGATAAAATACGTGGCTTTTCTTGTCTCGGTTGGTGATTGTTGGAACAGACGAGGAAACCATGAGGGCATTTAGACTGGTTTCTTTAGGTTTATCTTTTTCATTAGTAGAAAATTGAGTCGAAGCACTTGATGACGCTGTTTCATTCAGTATGTGAAATGAAGTTGCACCATGTCGTGAAGTCGCGGTCCATGGTAAGAGACTGATTCTTGCAAAAACAATTTAGATCTCTCTGGATGTCTGGTTACACTTCTTGTGTATCTTTAGTCATATGTTGATGTCGTTGCAGAAGGTATGAATGAGATGCAGAGCACTATGTATCAGGTTGTTAGTGTTACAGTGACAGGTGTATGCATATCCTTATATAGGTGTACATATATACATATATACAGACACATATATACATATATGTGTATATATAACAACGTTCTTCAGTTTTGGGTGGGTGCTAAAAATTTTAATTTGATATGACGAAGACATTTCATGCATCTAGGTCTTGACAACACGAGGTTGATACAGAATTATAGAGGGCATTCAAGAAACTTGAAATATGTGATTTTATCTGATTTGACATTGGTCTTATCATGCTCATCTATTTGTATGTCGAATATGAACTGAACTGTTCATTGGCCACTTGGTCTGGACTCATTTTCTACCAATCTGATGCACTTGTTGTATAAAAAAGGGGGGAGAGATAGCACGAGAAACTCTCAAAATTCTGAAAATCATGACAAGTTCAGAGGAAGGTCCAAATCCAGATCAAGAATGAAATGCTATCGTTGTGATAAGTTGGACACATGAAAAGAACACAATGAAGAAAAGAAAGAAGGAAAATATACAACTTCAGTTGCATTTGATGGAAAACGAATTGAGCGCAAAGACACATTTCAAGTTTGAGCTTGAAAAATAAGATGTGCACAGCGATGGTGACAATGCCATTTTGTATTTTACTTAGTAGTAGAAATTATACAATATGTCTGCTATCTTTGTTTACATGATGCAAAACCACAAAATCTGTATATATTCTGTAATAAACTTTTGTAGGTGAACTTGTTGAAAAGTAGAAGATTTTATAGAAGGTAGGAACTCATAACTGTTGGAAAAATTGGAAATGTGACTTATAAACTGTAAAGTTTTTTTAACAAAAGAAAGCATAAGATGAAACAAAGAATAGAAGTTAAGATCTTGGAATGATGCATGACATTTGTTTGGCTTATTTAATCATAGTGTGTTTCAAGTTAGATAAAATCTAGGCTATTATTATTTAATATTTATGCCACCTCATGACTAATATATAAATAAAACAAAGGAAAGTCAGGGATGGGAGCCAACTCATAGCAGAGAAACTAAGGAGCATGACTATGACATTTTTTTTGCTTATTTAACCATAGTATGTATCAAGTTAGATAAAACCTAGTCTATTATTATTAATATTTATGCCACCTCATGACTAATATATAAATAAAACAAAGGAAATTGTGAGGGATGGGAGCAACTTGTAGCAGAGAAACTAAGAAGCACAAGTATGAACATATATGGTGGTTTTTCTTTTTTATCCTGGTGCTTTATTGTGTGAATGCCCCACAAGCGTTGTGTACTTATCCTTTTCATAATTTAAGTTTCCTGCAGTGGCCTAATATCTTTTGAAGAAAATATCATGAGAAACATAGTGAAGAAACAAGTATGAATATATGCAGTGGTTTTGTATTTGTTTTTCTGTTTTTCTCCTGGTGCGTTTATGTGTGAATGCACCACTAGTATTCTGTACCAATCCTTTTCATAATTGAAGTTTCCAGCAGTGATCTAATATCTTTTCGAGAAAATAACATGAGAAACATGCGAGGAACTTTTCCATATTGACATACCAGTTGTATAAGTCATAGGGAAATCCCTGCCAGTCAAAAAGACCAAAACATAATGGTTTTATTTATTTACACCTCAGAGGAATACTGCCTGCCAATATGATCAAGATTTAGAAGGAAAGAAATAGGACCTTGTTCTCCAAATATTTCTCTTTTTCTCAAATATTGTACCAATATTTATTGATTTAATTATCATTTTACCATCATCTACATAGACATACTAGATTTTCGACAAACAGTAATTATAGTTATGTTGAATAAATCCTGTCGTTGGATTTAAGTGTTAATAACTAAGTTAGGTAGATATATTACATTGACATAGGTAGTTATTTTACATTAACAGCAATAGTGATTAGAATTATGTTCACTGGAAAACAAATACTTAGAAAATAATTCAATTTTCACAAATTTTTCTAATACGACTAAATCTTGTTAATTGTCCCTCTTTTTCCTTGTAATTGCACCTACTTCTACGAAATATCTTCAGTCAGAGGACTCCTCTTGTTGAACCATTGGTGAGCCTAACTAAAAATGTGAAAACTTCTAAAAATTGCTGATCCTTTGAGAGCCATTTTAATCTGTAACTCCTTTTGTTTAAATTTATAAGTCACAACAAATGTATTATTGTTATAATGTAATTGAGTTTATGTCTAGGCATTTTTTTCATTTTATTGACATCTATAACCTGTTAATGTCTGTGTATGTTCACGACTCACTATTAGTTTCCTGGTTTCACCCTTATCCTCTGAATTCAAGTCATATGTTAAATATTTATAGGAACGAAGATTCATGTGAATCCCTTGTCAATCTTCTACTTATTCTTTCAGCATTATGTTACATTCTTTGCTAACTGTTGTAACTACATTTGGTCACTGTAGCCAAACAAAAATTGGGTTTGGTTCTTAGAGACATTTGTTTCCTTTGTCTGCACAAGCTCCAAAGGAGCAGTATATGATTTCTTTTTCTGCGTCTTTTGCAGTATTGGGTTAGTCAAGGAAACAAATGGTGTGATTTCTGCAAGATATATATTGCTAACAATCCATTGAGCATCAGAACTCATGAACTGGGTCAGCGCCACAAGGACAATGTTGCTAAGAGGCTTGCCACTATGAGAAAGGAGAGTGCTGCCAAGGAGAAAGAACAAAAAGCAGCAGCTCGTGCCCTTAAGGAAATAGAAGCAGTAAGCTTTCTTTGAACCTTAAGCATTGATGTTAAGATAATGCATTACCACATTTGAATTGTTTTATTATTCTTTTTATTCTATGTGTCATGCAGAAAGCGGAACGAAGTTACCAGAAGGATCTAGTTTCTTTCCAGAGCGTTGATACTAGCACTGGACTGGATTCAAATAAGAAAAAGACAGACGAAGCCCAATGTTCAGCTGCAACTACAAATGGTAATATCACAAGATTTCTCAATATATGTTCTGAACATTAAAAGCCAACTAGTCTGCTATCACTTTAGATGAACTTGATATGCATGGAACGGTCACTTGCATGGGAATAGTGCTTTTTCCTTCGTTTACCATGTCATTCCATGCATGTCTTATGGTAATATTTAGAGTTTCTTCTACAGCTGATGTGCATGGTATGGCAGGGCTGCCAATCTGCCTGCCAGCATTCTGAATTGTCTCTTATCTGAAGGAGTTCAGCATTGTTCTTATTAGGTCTATATTGAGACCTTGAAGTTATAAGCTAATGATCCCAAACATTGTGCCTATTTGTCTGCTGACCTGAACCCAGGTCCACTGTGTAGCATCTAATTGGTTAATGGGTGCAAATATGTTAGTTTAGCTCATCTAATAATTGGATCATACCAAAGCAGTTCTACAAGAAATGGCTTCAAGTTATGGGAAGGACGAATTGGTCCATATCATGCTCAATCCTGTCAGGAACACATACTGACATGGTGCGATACTCATATCAAATCAAGTGGGTGTCTAAAATATTTTCCTATCGGCGAAATGTCTTCTGAAATTTGACATTTTTTACCTTGTTATTGTAAAAGATGACTTGGTACTGAGTCATATATCAGCTGATTCCCTTCCTATTTATGTTTACTGATTAATTTCTTCGTGATAGTTCTTACTTGCAATTAAAATATTTTCGTGTTATTTGTTTAGTTCTCTCTATCTTTTAATTGGATGTACCATGCAACAATTTGGATTCACCCTTTTGGAACACCCTCCATAATCATTATTGGTGGCTAATTAAAATGGTCCCCTTAAGTTGTACTATTCGCAAGAATATCACTATAAGAACACACTGGCCAGAGTCTTACACAGCAGTATAGGTTGGCTTGGTCCCATGCCTGATGGTCTAATGTTGGGCTGAGTAAGCACCAGGTCCATGGGACTTCCATTTTGGACATGGCTGAACCATTCCCTGGATCTTGCATGGCCTCTATGCATCATTAGTTGAGTCTTAAGCTCATGTTAGTTTGCTGCTTTCTTAGAGGTGCCAGATCGTGTCAAAAAACTTTATTACACTTTATATCCCAATTTCACAAGAGTGATGAATGATTACATTGTTTTAGGAAATGGAGCTGCTTCCAAATCCAAAGGTGGCCCAGCTCCGGGGTTGGTCATTTCAACACCTCTGAACCCCACGAGAGCTGTTAAAGGTAAACCATCATCAGTTGCTGTTAACAAGAGAAAAAGGGATGATGGGAAGGCAAAGGCGATATCAAAAGAGGAAGTCCAGGCTCTAAAAGCAAGGGAGGCTGCAAGGAAAAGAATGGAAGAAAGGGAGAAACCATTCATGGGCCTATATAAGTCATACTGATCTGCTTGGAGGAAGCAAAACCTGTCAGTAGATCATTTGTTGCATTATTGAACTGTATGTAATATTGTGCTTGTTCAATTGGGAATCCAATTATAACATATAAAACAAACAGAAGTCTTCCTCTCTACTGATTAGAACATTCAAAAGAGCTAGAGTTGGATATGTCTACTCTCTTTTCTAGGTAAAATTGAATGGTTTTTAGTGGAGACGTGTCTGTTTTTGCTTAAATCATATTTTTATTTCTCTGATTATTTGCCTAACTCTAATATTTATTTGCTCAATATTACAATTTTGTATTTTCAATTTACCCTACGGCATATACATGTTCGTTATCATGACATGAGAGTATTTAACATCTGTTGTTTATGGAGGATGTGAATGACATTTTTTAGGTTATCATCTGTCATTCTAGATCATGAGAGGAAATTTTAAAGGTCTATTTAAGGTTCAGGCAATAAAAGCCAATAATTTGATTTTTTTTTATGCAAGCAGATACTCTGTGCACATTAATGATGAACAGCTGTTTACTGATATCATCACATGGGTACCCCATGTTTGAGCTCTTGGGTACCCCATTGATGGGAAAATCAAAGAAAGTATAATTGCTTATAGCCTTGGAAGAAAAAAAAGTAATTCAATAGAAGACACTTGCATGATCTTTTAGACTACTTTCATGTTGTAGAAAATGGCTTGCAATGAAAAGTCGTAATCTATATCGGCATGTCCAATATTTATTTGAGGTGCATGTCTTGAAGCATCAGATGAGTGCATAGACCAATTGACAACAAATTGTATACATTGACTTCTGATGTATTTGGCACCTTTTGGTATATGACCTGTAAGTGTTCGTTTCTTGTTTGCTACATTCCCACATTGCGATGCTGCTGCTTTTTTTGATTCAACACATTATGATTCTTAATATCCGGCTGCAGGTTCTTGTTGGTTCTTCAGTGATCTTCCCAAGGTGAAACATGTGACATCAAACGACCACTGTGATCTGTCAAGTACCTTGATTTGTTGACATTTTACCTTGAACACTTGTGCGCACAAGGTGATCGGATCAATGGTATGAGAATTTGGTTGTAGTCTGACAAATAGTTCTTCGATGCATTAGCTGTCATTGTTCATGCTAATTAGCAGTCTTTACTGATTCTGCCTTCATTCCATGACATTATAGTTTTTGATCAAGCAGTACAAGGTGCGGGCGTGCTGTAGCACAACAATGCTTTTGACCACTCCATCATCGTATTCTTGCTTTCTTGTAGTGCTGACAGTTGCATTTAACACATAGGACTAACACCTATTCATCATGTACTTGCCTTTATATGTTGCTAATGAAGAGTTCTCCCGTAGATATATGAAGGAACTCTGCTGCTGGGGATATGATGTCTCTGATGCATCATTCAACTGGGCTTCTCAAAGGAGGTACGAATCTTCTACTTCGTTTGTAATCCAAACACGAAATAATGCGATTATAAGAGAGAAGTTAACATGGATAGATGAAGAAATTGATCGGTCCATGTCTTTGATGACCCCCGAACATTTTTTGGTATTCCTGGATCGCCTATATGAAGCTGGCATTTCCATGTGTTCCATGCACCGGAGATGAAGCATGTTTACAGTCGCTTTCATTTCTCTTGACACTGTTCGAAGTTGGCATGATTGACGGATTTGTTGTGTCCTCGAAGGACTAGTTGTCGATCCAGCTGTTCTCTCTGTCTCTGAAGCAGGTCGTCAAAGAAATCCGCCCAGCGTTTCATCTTTCAGGTTGCACAAAGGGAGTCGCGGTCGATGATGGCGTGGAATGCTTGTACACACTGCTGCAGCTTAATCAACCACCGACGCGGGTGACTAAAACTTCTTCTTCTTCTTCTTTTTGGGTCAATTTGCTTGCTTGTTAGTGTCTTCTATTGTGCCAACCACTTCCCACCCACCCACCCACCCACATGTGAATCCTTGACATGTATGTCCACCACTGTTTTAGCAGATACCATCGAACTATGCTAGTGGAGCCAACACAGCTCCTTTTCACTTCTGCTAGACTTTTTACATCTCAATATATATGCACACACATCAGAACTCTTTTGCCTCCAAAATCAGTCTCAATCGAAGTATTTATATTTCTTGTCATCTTTAGTATACCCAACAAAACAACCTCCAATGGAGATTTCCATACTTGTTGAACAAGGCTATTCTTTTGCATATCCACGCATCTCAATCCATATAATGCAGCCTCGATTCTGGAGTGACGATATATGTATGTAGGAAGTCTTTGGTGATTGTGATCCGTAACTTGTTATAGCCCACAATATTTAATAATCCATATGCTTGCAAAGAATCTGTCCAAAACAGTCTATTATATCTTCATATAATCTCATCTCACTCTTAGAAGATTTTCCACTGTAACATGCTATCAGGTACGTAGAGCAGGCATGCATGCAGTCTAAAGAGAAAACAAAAGAAAATGCATGGTGCTTGGTAGAATGAATACCTTTATGTGTTGTGGCTATTGTCTCGGATGGCAAACGCATTCACCATTGATCATAAAAGCCTGTGAAAGCAAAAGCCTCCTGTCCTAGGGTAAGGGTCACAGACTCTCCTTTCCTGTACAAACTAAAGGCTCAAGGGACCCACAACAGGCCTAATAAATACCACTCGGATCGGACTCGACATCATAATAATTCCTCATAAGTAACCCTCCCCCCCCCTACCCTGGTCGGCAGAACATTTGGGTTTGAATTCAGGAGATGGAACCAAATAGAGAGACAAATTAGGAAGATGTGAATGTTAGACATGATAGTTAGGCATCAGCCTTTCACATATTGGACATGCTTACTTGCTGGGTTATTTCACTGCAGTCTTTAGATCAAATATTTCTTTTACTGTCTACACCCGATGCAGTTTACGAGTTCCAGTTGACACTCTGCCGTCTTTATGGATGGGAAACTCCACATGGGAATCATGAGGTTTCCTGACTCATCACGATTGGATACTGCCACTCCTCGATGTCTTTTGACTTGTGAGAGCTACAGAGAAAGGTAGAGGCCCAAGTACTATTCCACTGTGCTGAACCTTTGTCTTTGCCCCCACCGGATTAAACTTTTTCCAACCAAACTCTGAGCCGCAGCAGCACAAGTGTTGGTAAAAGCAGTGCAGGGGTGGTACGTAGAAAAGGCTTGACGGTGGAAGCACTGATGTAAAGTCATGCTTAATATAGGAAAGGTCACTGCGACTTCACTGTTGACGGAGAGAGAGAGAGAGAGAGAGATTCACGCATGTTCACTGTAGCAGACGGATGGCTCCGATGCAGCAGTGGTTTCACCTTCTTTAGCTTTTATTACCGAGCGTGGCTGACAGGAAGTAGCTGACATTATGTTTGTTCTGCCATTTACCTTGACATATGATGCATATTTATGTTCACCTGCCACATTGATACGTAAATTTCTCCTTTTTGCAGTGCTAGCTTGTGACTAGGACAGCGTAAATAAATGCTTCCCCTTATGTTTATAATCTCTTAGTTACCGGAACAGTGGGTGTCGATTTTGTTTCTTGTGTTTTTGCTGCTGTGAACACGAGAACTCAGAACTAGTTGTTTCTATTTCATGCTTCTGTTGTTCTGCTGCACAAGCAAGACACAGGCGAAATGAAATGCTACGGGAGACTTGACGCAAATGACTCAATTATCTTTCACTTGCACAACTTCAAACAGAGAGATGATTACACAGCACGCGAACGAAGATGAGTGAGTGTTCTCACCGTTGACTGTATGATTACATTGTCTCGCGAGGAGTAGAACGACTGGTTGATACAAGACGATGACAACGACGACGACGACAAGGAACATATCACCGACGGCCGAACGAGTGGGTATTGAATCCTCTGGAAATGCTAAGCACCGCCGGGTTGAAGCGCAGGCAGCCGAAGAGGCTCTGCCGGTAGGGAAGTGCGGTCTTCTTCTTGAGCTCCTCCGTCGCTGCCCGGTTGGCGGCGTAGTGCATCTGATGCGACGACGCAAAATGACCACTCCCCCTCCTGATCGAACCGCTGCTGTCGGTCGATCTGAAGCTCGAATTCTTCAGATCCTCCGTCACGGATTTCTTGATTGATGATGACGACGATGGTAGCAGCGTGTACTTGCGGAGAGGATCCTTGCTCCGGTTGCCGGTGGCGCGTCCTTCAGACGCACTTCGGAAGAGGAGCAAGTCCTTCAGCCGCCACTTCTTGCTTCCACCGCCACCGCCGCCCCCACTCTTCAGGCTGGCCGTGGAAGCGGTTGCAGGAGGAGAAGTGGGAGTCGTCTTGAAGAAACTTCCTCCGCCTCTGAGTGGAGAGAGCGATCTCGACCCCTTCCGACTTCTGGAAGAAGAGAAAGAAGGAGAGGTAGGTGTCGTCGCTCTTCCTCGATCTCTCGTCGCTTCCACCATCGCCGCGGTGAAGGGGTCAATCTGTTCTCCCCTTCCTCCTCTGCCTCGGTGGCAGGGAGACCACAAAACCCTCTGCTTCGGTGACCTCGGCGAGGAGGCCACGCTGCTCCCGTCGTCCGTGACCGGGTACTGCAGCCGAGGAGGGGGCTTGAGCGGCCGGATCTTTCCTTCTTCGAACAGCTCATCGGCGGTGGTGAGCACCGGCAACCCTTGTTTGTCCAGGTGGCCGCTGAAATCGAAGGCGAAGTCGAGTACGTCCTCCTGCTCGTCCTTAGCGGGGCTGCCGCCCCGGGACTTCGGGGTGCCAGGCTTCTCCTCCCAGTCGAAAGGGACACCAGAGGCGGCGGCCGGCGAATTGGTGGAGGAGATGGCGTTGAAATGCGCGTAGATGGCGGAAGCGCGCGTCGGGCTGGTGGGAGCGCTGGTGTAGTGGCGGAAGAAGTTGAAGGGGTCGCCGGAGCGCTTCGGACTCGACGGCGCGCTCACGTACGGGCTGGTGCATGCGCTGTCCAAGTGGAAGTCCGGCACCGGCACGACCACCTCCATCTTCACCTCCCTCCCGCTCTTCTGATGATCTCTCTGTCTCTGTCTCTGTCTCTCTCTTTCTTCCTTTGTTCTTATGATGGCTGTCAGGGAACACCTGGAACAGTGTGGAAACAAGGAAGGCGAATGGAGGCGGGGACTTCAAATGGCAATGGTTGCGGGAAGGTGAGAGGAAAGAAGAAGGCAAAGAATTCTTTGACCAAGGAGGAAAGGAGCAAATCTTTTATAGTAGATTTAGGACGGATAAGAGGTAGAGATAGAGAGCCGCCTTTTATTACTCATTCATGTTTTCTCGATTTATCTTATAGATTTTTCGCAGCGGTGTGATTTCGACACGCCTTAATGTGACATCAAATAACACTATAATATAACATAATGATCAAAAGAGAGAACATATTGGCCAATCGAAAAGATAGAGGTTTGTTCTTGGAGTGGAATCGTCAAAGAGCACGTGTGTTCTTGGACATGATTGCCGCTTGCTTTACACTAAAAACAAATATGCCACGTTGAAGCAAATAAAAGTCCAACGAAGAAGGCGCGGCCGAAGTGAGTTTGAGAATTATGCTTTATGTTAGAGACGACAACATTATCATACACTGTATAAACACTATGACCAAACAGCGTACAGGGATAAGTGCGTACCTCTGGACATACGTGTCAGGATATATATAAAAAGATTGAGGAGGGAAAAAGAAAAAGGAAAAAAAATCATATATATATATATATATATATATATATATATATATATATATATATATATATATATATATATATATATATATATATACCTTGCACTGATTAGGGATATTATTTTTGGCAACTATAAATACCTTGAATTACTTTCGGCAATTATTTCATTCTTTATGTTTTTTGATATTTTCCAAGGGATATTATTTCAATCTGAGTTCTAATATCATTATCAATTGATAGAGATGAACCACAATAGTTTGCCCTCAAGGTTATAAGATTTATGGGACTCGAAGAGATATATATCTTACAAAATAATTCTAACATTGCACTGATTAGGGAACTAAAGGTGGGGTGGGTGGTCATCTGCCTCCTCAATTTGAACATAATTAATGGTGTTCATTGACTAATTCTTGTAGCATTCAGCAGGGGTTGGTATAGGATTGCTTTGACCACTGCTTGAGCTCTTCTTGGTCGTCTCACATGTGCCTTTAATGACACATCCATCACCACAAACATCAGCTTAAACCACCACATCCCATGTCACTAAACTGAGACTACCATGCTTGGGATTATGTATGTGTCGGAGAAGGTTACCGGCTTCTTTCTCTTTCTAATCTCCAATTCTGACTCTGATCATATCATGTTGCCCTCGATTTCTCTAATATTTAAGCTCGTGCGATTTTATTGTTCATATCAAATCTGTCAAAAAGGACAGTGTAGGAATTAACTATATGACCACAGTTCTTGCTCGGTAAGAATGCTGTGCGTTCACCCGAGCCTCGTCAAAGATGACATGTATTAAGGTGTGGGTTTCTACATCATGCCATTTGAAGTGCTGCATTACGTTGAGGAGGGGTGGCGTACAAGGCTTTGGGCCTCGGAGCATGTGGGTTTGACATTCTATGTAGCTGACCGCAGGCAGGCACGTGCCAACAGATGCACCACTTGAGTTGGTGTCTATAGTGATTGCTCAGCCTCTCGTGGTTGGCTTAAAGGTTAAACCTCAGATGTGCTATCGACGCATACATTCATTATATAGGCGTGACATGCTGTTTCAGCAAGCAAGCAAGCATGGAGAACTAGCGGTAATAAACAGTAGAGAAGTTGCATTGCTGAATGCTGCTGTTATCTGTGCACAGGAATCTCTGAAATGGTCAATCCAATGACTCTGATGTTTGATATCTTTGACCCTCACTCTCTCTTCAGATCATGTAATCCACATGAAAATGGCAACATAACTAGGTTCAGGTATGTGTCTGAACCGGTAACTCTATAGCAAATTTGTGTTCAGCTTTCTTCAGGGCATGTCAATAATTGGCAGATGAACTGAAGGAAGGCTGCATTTGTTCTACACCTGACATCCACTGTAACAAGGATGAAGGTCTTCTGATTTCTACAGCTTCAGAATTCACCATATCGGCATGCAGTTTCAATCTCTCCAACTTTTTGGGACTTGGAAAACAGTTCTGCATGGTGGATGAGCCGTAGATAGCCTCCTGGTAGAGTCCTTGCAGAAAATTCACCACCTCTTCTTCAAGCCGAACCACCTCTTCTTCCAGCACGGCAACTTCAGCTAGAAGCTTTAGTGTCTTTGAGACGGATGGCACAAATAACAGGAAGGACCAAATCATTTTCCAACTAGAAATCTGGTATTGGGTAAATGCAACAGACGGGGAAGAGGAAAAAGGACAGTTACGTGCGAAGGGAGATAGGGTGGAAGACGAGGAAGAACACCCAAAGGTCTGGTAAAAGCCCTCACCAGAGCTCTGTGGATGTTCTCTTCATGTCTCAGCTTCTTCCTTAGTTTGTCAACCTGCAAAGCAGTATGCCAACAACGAATCAGATACAACTCAGATTAAGCGTGTTTGACTGATTACAACTCTTGTGGTGTGAGTACAGAGAAAGTATACATCTTGCTGTAAGGCAATCTTCCTCTCTCTTCGAGACCGGACTTTACCGGGCCCTTGTTCTGAAACCATTGATCTGTTCCCCTGCATCTTAGTTCATAAGAATGTAGTTTTTATCGTCTTAGTTCATAAACAGAGAAATTATACATCTTAGTGTTCTCGTGCTTGTCCAATTCCTGAGTTCATAAGAATGTAAGAACACCACCAGATTGGAAAAAGGAACAAAAGGTGATAATTTATTTCAGCATGGATGCCGCTGATCCAACTACACCAGCATAGCACCCACCTCGAATCGATGTCCGAGGGAGGGGATTGTTTCTTTACCAAGGAGCTCATCTTCGATCAAAAAACCAATTTTGATTTCGATAACTCGTAAAGAAACTACAGAACAATTCGTTTCTAATAAAAATTCTTCGAGAAAACGAAATGTTTTCTCCAAAATTTCAAAAGCCTTTCTCGAGAGACTAACGCATTGCACTCCCAATAAATCAATAGCCAAAGCAAGTAAAAGAGAATCCACTTCAGGATTCGTAGAAATCAACTAATCTATACATAGAGAGACACAGAAAGCAGGCAAAGCAGAACGAAAACTAGAGGAAACAGAGACCCATTTCGTATCTGCCACAAAGGAGCCTACTTTATCATCTCTCGAGGAAGCCTTCATGGCCTGCACAGCAATCGGCGCTCTGGCACTCATCGTCACCTCCTCCTCTCGCGTCAACTCTCCACCGTTTGTATCGGCGCCGAGATCCTCCTCCATCACATTAGCACAAAAACCGATGATACAATGGAGTGGAAATGCTGCGAACCTTAACAACCCCAACGCCATTCCCCATGACACCCGAATCAATAGAAACGAATAGAACGATGCTTCACAGAATATTTAAACCCGGGAGTGATCCCGATCCTTCCCGGGGGCGGGAACACGGCATGCAAAAAGACGAAGACGACGAAACCAAGCCAACCGAGTTAACGAAGGCAAACCTACATACCGCTCGGTGGAAGGAAGAAGGAAAGATCAGGAGAGAGGAGTGGTCTCGCTAAGCTCACACGACTCCGAGGTCATGAATTCCCCCATCCATGATCATGGCACAATACATACGATGCTAAAGACAAGACCGACGACGGACCCAACGCCAGCGTATCATGTCCTGTTCATGATGTCTTGACATGTCGGAAGCGAGTTTTAGATCACTACATTATCTTTCGACAGACATATTGATCTTACAACAACTGTTGGGATGAGAGAAACAATAGCCTTTCCGGAGATATGCTTTCGACTAATGTCCACATGTATATTTACTATATTCTTTCTGACTTTGTGCGAAGCTCTTTTGTCGTGGCAATGTCAACTGAGTTGAATCTCGTCCTGCTCCGGTGGAATGCTTCACACAACGCTAGTCACGTCGATCAAATAAAGTCACATCGTTGAAATAGTTGTAGAGACAACACTTATCATCGTCTTATGTTACTCCCTTTCTAGGTTTTGGTAATTCTCTAAAGCTTGAAAATGTGATTCGACCATTCCTTTTCCTGCGTGATGAAGAGAAGGTAAAAATATATATATATATTCAATCTCTTTTTATTTTTAAAAACAATAAATAAATATGTTTGGAAAATAAGTCAAACGTGAACGAAGATTTTATTTAAAACACGAAATAAATTATAATTTCATGTATATATATATAATCAAATTGTTATTTAACGGTTGTAATCGGATTAGAATAAAAAAATTAGCTATTAATTGGGTATGATATTTCCAAGTTTTAAGATTTTTCTTTGCTCCCAATGACTGGGTGAGTCCCATTTGGATCGACTGTGTCAAAAGTCAAAGGCATCACAATACAATAATAGAGTGGTTATCAAGACATGTTGATAAAGATGGTTGCGTTGGTGGCCAAGAAGAAATTGGACATATATGTATATTTATTAGAATTGTTTAAGATCTTTTCGTGTGGAAAATTGTTTGGTGATAAGCATCGCTGCAACTCCAATCATATTTTTCGGGGATGGGTACTGTGAGCGTCCAAGTCGACTCAGTTGTTGTTCCGCCCGGGGATAATGGTTTGTTTAATTGGCAAGAAAGCATAAATGATTTGTGCAGTATATTTATGATACTCGGCTATTGGTGGAAGACGTACGCAATCAACTTCTTCCATGTCGCGCAGTTTCCTATGATTAGAGATGTATTTTTCTGAATGCGTATTAGTTTGATGCAGCAGACATGGAAATAACTATTCCTCCTCGAACAGAGAGGCAATACATCATAGATGATTAAACGACACCCTGGCGAATCAAATCTGAGTCAGGAATCTGCTTCCAGTCTCTCGTGAAAGGAATGGGTCAGCTTTTAATGATTCACCTTTTCCTCCTGGCAGATGATGCTTTCCGGGCCATGGAAGATTTCTACACTGACAGCGTAATCTCCGTCGGCAAAGCAATCGGCAATGTGCCAAAAGATGTGCAGTTCTTCAAACTCCAAGGAGGCGATGTGGTAAGGGCTTGCGGTTGCATTCTTCAAACTCCTTCCACGTCGAAAGCGATACTGAGTTTTGGCTTCTCAGAAACCTCTACTTTCGGAACAAGGAGGCTCTAAGAATCTGCTGCAACGAGCATGGATCAAGCATTTGGAAGTATATATATGAAGGAACACAGTAACTCATATAAGATTGCAGATTTCTGAAAGATCTTTTACCCAGTTGCAAGGACAGACCCACGATCTTCTTGTCTATCTTGAAATATAAATGTATTATACAGGAACAAGTAGCAGCAACAGTGGTTGCATCAGAATAGGACTCACCTACCAAAGTCCCCAATCCCAGTGCTGGCTTGTGCAGACTCCACAAAAGGACTGAATGAGGCGTTGCAGCTAAAAGTGGTCGTCTTCATTCCTGCAACAAGCACAAATTTCAGATGGTGGGAACTACAGTGGTCTCCCACTCTAATTCAACAAGTAGGAGTCATAAATGAATGCTTCGTTGGCGTTTGGTCCAAACACCATTTATGAGGTGAGGCCCAAGGAGCCTCTAAATTGGGTCAGTAAAATTATTGACTCAACCAGTTTTAGGACTTGTATGCATGTGTTCTACAAAGCTGTTTTTCTATTAAAATTATCTTTCTCTGTTATTTCTTCTCTATTAATTATTGAAGCCTAATGCTCTATTTTCCAACACATTCATCAGATAAAGACGATGAGTCTTCATTATTGCCAGTATCGAGGAACAAGAACCAGCATTCTATAGCTCAGCCACAATTGCCCTGGTGTGGCTGAAGACAGGCACCTGAACCATGGCCCTTCAATGTATTCATCAATCAATCCATCTCATCCAGGACAGAGTATCTACAAAGAATAGAATGAAACATCTCATTACAACCCAATCATGCAGCTGTGTTGTTGGACGCACTTTATGAGTTGAATCCAATGATAAAATATGATATCAATGTGTTGAACACATTAATATTAACATTAACATAGTCAAATGATCTCATTTTATCCTTGAACAAACTTGGCTAGTCACCTATATGAGGAAGCAAGCATTCGGACTCGAGAGAAGGCAATATTTCCTTCGATTAGTATACTGGCAAATTAGTTTAATCCGAGTCTAAAAAGAAGATCTTTCATCAGAAAATCCAACACTTGGGAGGAGCAATATTTGTTTTTTTATTTCTTTGTCTTCTTCTTCTTCTACTTCTGACAGTGTCAGGAAATACACAAGAAATAGAAAGTTAATTCAAGCAGTGCCAGTTAAGTCACTTGAAGGGACAAGTCGTTGGAGATGATGAGGAACACAACAATTGATTCAATATATATCAGATGGCTTCTGCTCTTTCTCGTTCGTACACCTCAAAGGTCAACAGCTAAGGAGAAAATAGGGACAGCACCTCGCCGCTGAATCGACGACAACATTGACATCAGATCAAACCCACAGGGGAGAGAGAGAGAGAGAGGCAAAATACTTCTGATTTCTTTCCAGAGAGTTAATGTCAGTAACCAATCCCACGAAAACAACTCGAAGTTTCTTCAAACTCCTCCCTACGAACGCAGTAATACAGGCAAACTTTTCACACGAGTGAACAACAACATCACGGAACTAATTAGATGAAGAAGAGGCCACTGTATTTACTGTATCTCCTCCCTGACCGGAGATTAGATTCATAGCTCCTACGAGAAACAAAATGAAATGAAAGTGTCATTGGAGTCGTAATCCACAAGAACAAAAAACGCATACATGTTTGACATGCTGAAAGAAACATGCTACCGACCTATGAATACTTGCCGAGAAACTCGTCTTCTTTCTTATCGCCCTTCTTCGGCGCCGGCCTTCTCAGCCCAAGAAGTCCCTTCCACCTGACGGATCCTTTGGGCGGCCGCTCCTCGTCGTCGTTAGCGCGGAGCTCATCGCGGAGGGTCGTGATCCTATGATGACCGCCGCCTTGGTGGCCGTCCTTAAGAGGAAGAAGCCGGCCCTTGAAGAAGAGTTGGTCGGCGGCGATCATCGGGCGGCTGCCGACCGAGAACTCAAAGTCAGGGTCGGGCGGAGGACCGGGGGTGCGTGCCGGTGGCGGCTCCATGTTAAAGTCGCTCGAGAACGACATGCGAGGGCTCATCGGCGGAGCCGGCGGCACTCCGCGGAGGCTTCGGTGATTAATGCATGCCATGGCCAGAAAAGAAAGAGAACAATCGAAACACCAACCCGACCACCCTCTACCCTCCAGGTTTTGTGTCCTCTGTCACAGCGAAGATGATCTACTTAGAGACCGCCACACTGTATGGCCGGAGCTTGTGTTCATATATAGAGCGAGGAAGGGGTTGTGGTGATGAAGAATGGGTTAGGATGGCATCTAGATCTGTCTGCTCATCATCAATCAATTGATGCAAGATGGGTAGGTTTTGTATAAACGTCAGGATCAGTACGTGTGTGCTGTATATGTGGAGTAGAAAATTTGGAAGCACAAGGAGGTACGTACCCCTTGGGTGTATCCGTGAGGTCCGTCTCTTAATCTAATCACCATCTCCTTTGAGAACTAAATGCAAAGATTTTAATATCTGTTTTCTTGTGCTTTCATTATTCGATATAATTTGGAATAATTTGAAACGAGAGAAAATGATCGCTTCTTATTTAATGAACACTTGCGTAGTTGATGATCTATTTATTATTTACTGCAATTTTAACACTTTTAAGATCATCTCAGGATCACACACAACGAGTTGCTGTGATCTCGATCCAACAAGTTTTCATGCAACAACCTACCTCCTATTTTATCCAATCAAATCCCAGATCAAGATTTCTCACATTGAAGACTTCGCAAGATTAGATCCAAGTTGACATGTAATCAACTATTTTTTCCCCCGTTTATAATCCAATCAGACAGCTTTGCATTTAAATTACCGAGAAAAGCGTACAGCTAGCTATCCATGCCGTATAGTCTAGTCATGAAAGACTGTATTCTAACATAAACCCACTTACGAAGCTGGAGGTGGTGAGATGTGGTGATAACCATGAAACTAAGAAACTTGCCAGATCTAACCAGTAAAATTAAACTGACGAGATGCTGTAGATGGGGTTTGCATTGGAGATGTAGATTAAAGTTTAGATTATTAGGTTAGCTGATTAATGATATGACAAACACTCATGGTTAAATGATGTCCCTCATGAACTATAATTTGAAGTTTTGCCTTGACTCGTCGTGGTTCTTTGTTCAGATCTACTGAGATGGAAGTCAAACCCAATTTTACGACATCATGTTCATGCCATGACAGACATCTAAGACGGTCATGTCAAGTCTGTACTCGATAAGCAAATCTGACCCATGCTTGATTTGAAATCGAGCATGAGTTCTATACATGCTGTTATATAGCTTATTTGCTTTTCGTTTTAGGGCACCATTTCCAGGCTACTTCATGCTTGTGTTGTTTGGGTAGCTCAAACTTTGACATTGAGTTGATCATTTATTTCTGCAAAAAGATGATTCGGAGCACTCTGTAGCAGTTGCAGTTAATGTCTCCCACGGACGCTGAAGCTTTACTGTATCATCCCGCTGTTGTTGATAGGTTGGATATAGGATTTGACTTGTTAGAGAGAGAGAGAGAGAGAGAGAGAGAGAGAGAGAGAGAGAGAGAGACATGTGTTGGTGATGGTAAGGGATATATTATCCAGGTGAGGTGAGGTTTGAATAGCAGCCAAACTAAGACATGAAGGTAGGCTTAGGGAGAGAGATTGTGTCTCTCTAGTCTCTAATCGTGCTGGCAATGGAATCTTTAAAGCAATAGTGGGTTTCTTTTCTATATTATTATGTCTTGATAGTGTGATGCACGAAAATGATATATGATTCTGACTGTCAATTATGTTCTGAACTTGAAAATGATATATAAAACAGGAGAAGCCCAAACATGATAGTTGCAGACAAGCTAAAAGGGGTTTTCCTTTATGATCTTTGATGATGATAGATAGATATATAGATAGATAGATAGTCTTTGGATCTGTCATTTGGTGAGAAATTTACAGCACTGTTTGGCTTCCAAAAGATCAAAAAGGATAGGAAAAATATTTTGAACCAAATTGAAATAATGGACATCATCCAGCCTCTTGTGATTAAGGAGCTTATTTTTACTGCTAAGGTTAGCAACAGCATGGACATGAGGAAATTACAAGACCAAAACTTTCCCAAGCATATTTATGCTCATTAGGAACATAAACAGCAACCAGCAGCCCCAAGAACAGAAAATTCATCAAGTCACATACAGTGAGCAATTTACACAACTTATAAGTGTTTGATTGACGCGAGAGTAGATTACATGCCATGCAATAGCAACAAAGAAGAGCACATACCAAGATTATAATCACCTTCAGATCGATGAAACCATGATCTGTCTGTATCAGTTCAGCTTACCACACCGACTCATGTTGCTGCTCCTAATAAGCCACGATCTTGAGACCCAGATTCTTCTGAGCGAACTCCACCAGATTGTCGATCTCGTCGTCGTCGATGAATCCGTCGCCATTAGAGTCGGCGTACTGGACACCGCGCTTGCTCTTCCAGCCACTGAATCGCACACGGATGCTGCGGATGGCACGCCGCAGCTCGTCCCGGCTGATGCGCCCGTCCTTGTTGGTGTCGAAGCTCTTCAGCCACACCTTGAACTCTTCCGTCGTCATCTCGTCATCCCAGGAGCGTGCTGTGACACGGACGGCGTTGTTCTTGATGGCCATGATCGATGGTCGCTCTGTGTCCTCCGAGTTATGGCGATCTTTACGGGAAAAACAAGGCGGGGTTGATGATGGCTTTATTCGTTGGGTAAAGCACTGGTTAGCTGCTTCTTGGAAAAGCGGGGAAAGTTGCGTTGAAGAAAGAGGGAATATGACCGACCCGCGTATGCATCATCGGTGGGAAGGACTCGGTGAGTCCAAAAGAAGGGCGAGAAAAGGCAGCACCAGATGCTGCTGTATCGAGCCATGCATGATTAGGAGCGCCTGCTGCAATAGGCGGTGGAGGAGCACACTGTTTGACCGCCATTGTTTGATCCTCCCTCCTATCACACGCCATTGGTTTCCTCTTGGAAGCTTGTAGATAAATGCATGGCTCAAAGAGGACGTCTATCTGCACAAAAATTATTGTTGTCGAATCTGATTCTTTGGAAAGTGAAAATTTTTAAATAAGAGTAATAATTGATGATTTTTTTAATAATATATTTTATATTAGATTGATATCAATATGATTCCATCATAGATTATGGTGAATATTTTTTTTCTATCAATATGATTTAGGATAATAATTTTAATGATGAAGTATGGCATCACATTCTTCTTATTTTCCTGGCAGTTTTTAGAAAGAATTCAAAAGTATTTTCATTCATCTTCCAATGACACGAAAAATTGTATGACTGACTTATTTTCATACTAATCTTAAGATTAATATCATAATGGAATCATATCATATCGGCTATGTCATGATTGGTAGCATCTAGGGATGATATCATATTAGTCATAAATGCTAGAGATGTGATGTTGTGATGTTGAGGCGTTAGGTACATGACAAATAGGTATCGGTCATGTAACGATAGGGTGTTGGCTATGCGACGGTAAGATGACGACGACTACGCAATGATCGGGCCATATAGTACCAAAATATCGATTACATAATATTAAAATGATGATCATGTAACAAACACCAAGGCATTGATTATGTGACTATTAGATATTGAGAGAACATTTGATTGATTGAGCTGATTGAGAGAACAAGGTAACAATCTTAGTCACAAAGGAGCCATAGACTTTGGAAGCATATGTACGCAATTTCATGTGAAGAACATGTTTAGCATTTCTAATGTGCTGTGCTTGACTCGGATTAGATATTTCTAGATTTTCCTACCACGCTGAGCTGAGAAGATGCCAATATAGTGCTGCCATTTGGTTTCTCTTTATTCCCCTTTGATGTTGACGCTGAGGAAAAGTTTGGTGTATGGCTTATCAGACTTCTTTTTCTTTGTTTGTAAGATTCTCATCACTTTCTATATTTATTTATTTATTTATTATTAACACAAGTTATTGACATATCCTACAATGCTACACTACTCACATACCTAATTGCCTTTAACCATTGAAAAATGCCTCACTTTCTTGTGAAGTTGGGGAAGGAAAAGCGACACTTTTAATTTTTTATCCCATTTCTTCCTCACATCATTTGAACACCTTTTTTTCTTGGTGGTATTGTGTGGGTTGATGAGAAAGCTTATCCATACAAATTTGGTAGATAAAGATTTTTATTGAAATGACACATGAAGTAATACGATCGAACACAGATGGCTAATATCTCTTGAGTCAATGCATTTGTTTTTTTTTATTAAAAAAATCATTAGCTTGAGAGTCTTTGCTTTATTCTACTTTTTGATAAGAAGGAGATTAATTGTTATTGATTATAATCAAAATAAAATTAATTATAAACTTAAGTCATCGATATAATCCTTATAAACTAAAACTGAGTATATAAGATATAATCTTTGTAAGTTTAGAAATAAATAAGAGAATATAGTTAAGTTGGATAGAAAAAAAATCTAAGTAAAATATTTAGATATCGATAGATCAATTATTAAATAAAATAGAGATAATATTTATTATTCATAGAGAGATATTAGTTCATCATCATCACCAATATCCATCGAAGGGTTTAGGGTTTATTATTACCGTCAACATTTCAAGTGAAAGCATTGTGTGTTATTGGCATTACAACCAGTGAAAGCATTCTATCTAAATTTTTTTTTAATTTTACATAATTTTTTAGATATTTTTTCCTAAATTTTGTAAACATATGAAGAGTGTGTCAATTTTTTTTATTTTTTTATTTTCTCCTTTATTTTTCTATTTCCATAGAATTAAGATTGATTCATGCAATGTTTTTATGATATTTGACCTTCTAAATAAATGGATAAGTTATGATAAAATATTTGTGCAAAATATACATGTCTATTTATAATTATGCTTAATGTTTTTAGTCTTACAGTTTTATCGACCAGGATTTTTGATTTTGAATGTTCGACTACTATTATATTGAGTTGTGGTTAGCTCTTTAAAGTGCTAACCATAACTTTAAAATATTTGAACGCTTTATTTGTTGATGATAACAAAAAATTTGATATTATTTGTAATTATCATCCTTATAAACATTAGTTATTTGACTACTATTTTAATTCACATCTTATAAGTCTATTTTTCTCAAGTCACTTTTATAATTATTAGTTAAATAAAAAACTCATGATTATAAATTATAAATAATATTCATTTAAAGTTTTTTAATATACAATCAAATTCAATCATTGATAGCAACGGTCATGATAAAAATCAATATCATTGTTCATGTATCTTAATAAGTCCAAAAACGAACTAACCTTCTAGAAAAAGAAATAACTATGATCATGCGCTCAATATTTCTTCCAACGTAAGTAGATAATACTACGTATATCTTTCGATGGATTTAATAAACATTTATTATATTAACTTATTTATTAATAATAATCTCATTTTTGTCATTTAACTTCGTTCGAATTTTTTTGGTTTATTTACTGCACATAGGCCTATTCTAAGGCCAGCCCGTTGAGCAGGCCCACAGAATCGGGCCACTCAAATCCGGGCTCAGAATTGGGCCTCATCAATCAAGGGCCCGGCATAACTAGGATTCAATCTGATGCGATCGAAATTGGTGCGCGCACGCGATTCCTCACGGCCGACCGAGTGGAACGACAAGCTGGCCGAGGAACTGCAACTCCAACTCCAACTCCAAGAGTCGCATCTCCTTTCCGCCGGACACTCGAGTTGCTGCACCGTTGCCGGCGAACAGCATCCGGCGCTAACTTCTTACGGCGCAACCTTCCTCCTTGCCCCCTTTCCGCCGTCGTCGGCTAAGGAGAGGGTTTTCGGTGAAACAAGGAGAAGAAATAAAGCGTGGTAAAAGCAGTGGCCGACGATCACCGAAACAGTGGAAGCGAAGGTTCCAGTTGGATGTAGAAGTTACAGATCACAAAGTTGTTCGACATCTATCTACATGTGCCTTTGGTTCTCTAATCGTCAATTAGCCATTTTAATATTCACAAATCTTGTGATTTAAGGTCATGTATTTATTCTTTTTATAAAAATTATACAATATATATTTATATAACTACAAGGAGAGAGACCAGAGAAAATAGCCTCAGCACATAAAAATAGAAAGTGGTCTGGGTACACGTGGTGGGACCCGATTCTGGAGGCACAGAGAGCGCTGACCTGTTCTACCTCGTCTTAGAATACATCCCATACGTATGTACCGCATGGGTTTACCGGCATTCACCGACGCGGGCGAATCACCGTGTCGGACGCGAGGCGGATCGAACACGTTTCCTTGGAATCTCCGATTCGGGCTCGCCCTCATCCTCTCATCGGTCATCCCAAACTAATTACTTTCTTTCAACTCTTTTTACTGTTTCAGCATATGTTCATTGTTTTTGTCTCTGAAACAAAGAGTAAAACAGTTCCAGATTCGCTTGGAAACAGCAGAGGAATATTGGACATGGTCTAACTAAAGCCAACGCAGAGTTGTCCGTCATCCAATGACATCAGATCCTGCAGCCCTGCCCACATATCCGTCAATTCCTGCTCTTGATGATCCATCGAATCCTGCTGCTTGTGTTGGGCACCGGATGGTTGCTGCTGTGGTGGATTGGAAGAAGAGAGCGAGGTGGACTGGCTAGTCTCGTGGTCTCCGTCGACCTGAGCTGGATATTGCTCCGGGAACGGGAAATTGAGCTTGGCCCGCGGGCCACGGAACTCGATGGCGGCCATGTCGTAGGCCCGCGCCGCCTCCTCCGCCGTTTCGAAAGTCCCCAGCCACTTCCGCACCGCCCGCCTGGGGTCCCGGATCTCCGCCGCCCACTTCCCCCACGGCCGCTGCCGCACTCCCCTGTACTTGCCCTTCTTCTTCCTCTTCCTCACCTGCTTCCCACCTCTGCCAATTGTCGTTTCTGATACAGAAAACGGCATCGGGACCTCGTCATCTGCGGCCGAGATGAAGAAGTCACAGCCCAGGCATCCGCCAATGCCGCATAAGCCGCAGGCGCCAGCTATTGAGAGCTCGGCGGGGGCCGCCGGGTAGCCAGAGACGACGTGGATCAGTGCGGCAACGATGACGGACTGCTCCCGCTCTCGTGAGATGCGGGAGGAGGAGGAGAAGGAACGTTGACGGTCGTGCGAGCTAGACTCTGCTTCGTCGATGACTCCGTGGGGATCAGCGGGAAGGGCGGGGCGGAGACGGCGGCGGTCCTGCGTCGCCACCATGGTAAGCTGAGTTGAGCTTGATATGGGTTGCTCGAGGATTGGGTGATCAGCTGATGTGAGAGCGAGGCATCGGAGTTGCAATGAGAACGGAGCGTGGGGTGGGTTTATAAAGCCTACCGCGAGTGTGACTGAGACGGTCCACGCGGATTCAGAGCCCCTTCTCTTGGTCGTGTCTGTGGGTAGAGTGTGTGATGTGCTTATCAGATTGGGATATCAGGCGCATTTATCACGTGTTCAACCGGAGAAAAATCAAAGGGGAGAAATGCCACGTGGCTAATAATGCCCAGGAGGATCCTGAAAAATTTTATTATTTGGTTTGAGCAGTTTAATAAATTTTATTTTGGTTCAAATAGATAGGAACCAAATTCAATTTTTTTTGTGAGATAATTTTAATAAATTACCAAGAAGTCAAACATAAAAAAAATCCAATCTTTAACATAAAATATTTAAAATATAAATAAAACTTAAATTATATATTGTTAGTGAACCTTGTCTCGAATATACAAGGTTGTCCACATAGATGCTCGGGTGGTGAGGGCGAGCATCGAGTCAAGTCGGGTTCGAGCCTCGTCCCCCGAGCGTGATCTTCTTTCTTTGTGAGTGACCTGCTTCTTCATCGCTGGACTCCTGCATATAGGTCGAGGTCTGGAGGGGGATTTTCTGAGTCGACCCCTCTGAAGCTTAAGTTAGCTTTTGGTGAAATGAGATAGAGTTGAGTGTTTGAAGTCCTCCCCCTCCTGATTAAGGAGGGTTAGCTTTTATACCTGTGAGGATGAGTTGATCGTACATGGTCAATTAATTGTGGTCGACTCCTCGGGTAGCCAATTTTAGCTTCTGTACGAGCGCCGACCGACCGGCACAGATCGGCACCGCGCGGCGCCACCCCGAGCTTTCCGGGATGGTTGTAAAGTGATGATGTCGTTCCTATGGAGGGGTAAGCAAACAGTTGCCCGCCACGTGTATGCTGCGCACCACATTGTACTTGAGGTTCCACGTCTGCATTGTCGTGTCTGCTTGCCTAGGTCCATGTTGGCAATGCTAAAATATACTCTTTCATTCTCTCCCAAAATATACCCTATCATTCTCTCCCCCACCACAAAAATAGGCGTGCCCCAGGGTCCGCATGGGGGATGGGGGGGGGAGGGGGGGAGGAGGGGAGGTGGGGCCTCGGGGCATGGCTTTGTGCCTTTTGTTGACTGGGTTGGCTATCGTGCTGGGATCGGTGGTTCGTCGTCGATTGATCGGGAGCTTCTATTGGTCGAGCAACACAACTCAAGGACTGGACTGAATCGAGTAGCACTACTCGAGCACTGGCTTGGCCGAGCAGCATCACTCGGGGTAACTTGCTACACATGACTGAACCGAGCTGCGCTGCTCAAGCAGCACTACTCGAGCACTGTCTTAGCCGAGTAGCATCACTCGAGCCCATGTTTGGCCGAGCAACTGCTCGGATCTCGATTGAACCGAGCAGTAATTTGTTGCACATGACTGAACCGAGTAGCGACTTGCTGCACATGACTAAACCGAGCTGCGCTACTTAAGCAGCACTAGCTTGATCGAGCAGCATCACTCAAGCCCATGTTTGGCCGAGCAGCTGCTTGGATCTCGATTGAACCGAGTAACAACTTACTGCACATGAATGAATCAAGCTGCGCTGCTCAAGCAGCATTGCTCGAGCACTAGCTTGGCCGAGCCACATCACTCGGGCTCATGTTTGGTTGAGCAGCTGCTCGGATCTCGACTGAACCATGCAGTGATTTGCTGCACATGACTGAACCGAGTAGCAACTTACTACACATGATTGAACCGAGCTACGCTAGTCAAGTAGCACTGCTCGAGCATTGGCTTGGTCAAGCAGCATCACTCGGGCTCATGCTCGATCGAGCAACTGCTCGAATCTTGACTGAACCGAGCAACGACTTGCTGCACATGACTGAACTGAGCTTTGCTGCTTAAGCAGCACTGGCTTAGCCGAGCAGCATCACTCGAGCTCATGCATGGTCGAGCAACTACTAGAATTTCGATTGAACTGAGCAGCGACTTGTTGCAGATGACTGAACCGAGCAGCCCTACTTGCGCACTGGGGACTGGACTAACCGAGTAACGTAGCACGAGCTTTGGCTTGACCGGGCAACACTACTTGGGCGCATGTTTGGCCGAGCAGTTGCCCGAACATTGAATGAATTAAGTAGTGACTCATTGCACATGACTGGCTGAGCAACACTACTCGGGCATTAGGGATTGAACTGGCCGAGCAACGTAGCTCGAGCATTGGCTTGGCCAAGCGACACTACTCGGGCCCATGTTTGGCCGAGCAGTTTGTTACGAACAAAATTATAAATATAGTGTTCAATATAATGCTCATGTATATCCGTATCTTTTGGTTTGTTCATGTTTTGTATAATATGTAGAGGGACGGTCGAAGGCTTAACAACCCCAATTTAGTTACATTTGATGGTCATTTTAAGCTTGTAAATAAAGGTTGTGTCATGTGGACACTTATGAAAGATCTTGGTCTGTAGTGGATCATTTTGGATCCTTTGTTGTACAACAGTTTAATGCCTATGAAATCTGTTTGTAATTTACATTGGTTATGAAGTGTTTTATGAAATATTTGCTTGTGGATCCCGAGTGAGGCGCTTTCTCTAACATGTTTTCTCTTTTGTAGGTCCTAAGGGATCATGGGAGGTTTCGAGGAGGTTGATATTTACGGACGAACACGCAAGGGTATCGCACGACTTAGGCAAAACTAGCTAAGTTCATGACAAGCTGCTTAGACATTGAATGAACTGAGCGGCGACAGATTGCGTATGACTGGCCGAGAAACACTACTTAGGCACTAAGGACTGGACTGGCCGAGCAACGTAGCTCGAGCATTGACTTGGCCAAGCAACACTACTCGGTCCCATGTTTGGCCGAACAACTGCTCGAACATTGAATGAACTAAGCAGTGATTAATTGCACATGACTAGTCTAGCAACACTACTTGGGCACTATGGACTAGATTGGTCGAGCAACGTAGCTCGGCCATTGGCTAAACATCTTGGGAAACACCTTTTTTATTTATTTATTTGCACATCTTGGACTCTTCTTCTGGTCTTGTCATGGCGGGCCTTTTTCTTTCCCTGATCTTCTCACATGGGTAGCTCTTGATGAGGCCTCTTGTGCGACTTCACATGCTTTCTTACCACTAATGTTTTTATAGTAACATATTAGTTGGCCCATTGGAGGATCTCGGGAATGGTCGCTCATGGTCTCTTGACCAGCGACCAAAAGAACCATGAAGGTCATAATCCCATCAATAACGCTTGCATAACCGAAGAGGGGTGGGCATCTGGAACCCCTCGGATCTCAGTAGCAAAGCAGGCGACAAAGAGGGAGAGAGATTCATCCTCCTTTTGCCTTAGCTCGAGGAGCATGGTTGCAGATGAGTTAGGTCACGCGCTGGCTAAGAAGTGAAGCTCGAGTTCCCTTGCAAGCTGATCAAAAGACGAGACCGATGGCGACCTCTATCGGCTATACCACATCCGAGCCGGGCCTCGAAGGGTGGTGGGAAATGCCCGACACATCAGGGCGTTAGAAGTGCCATATAAGGTCATTTGGGCCCAAAAAGTGATGACATGCTCTGCTGGATTAGTGCCACCATCATAGTCCTCCAACGTCGGGAGGCAAAAGTTGATAGGGATAGGCTTGTCCTGAATTTCTTGGGCAAAAGGAGACCCGATCAAAGTATTTTAATATTTGAAAATAATAACATGGATGAATATTATTATATATTATATACTTTACAAAAATTTAAATCTATTTTCCATATTGTTATATATAATTAAATTGATTTCGATTAAATTATTAATGCTTTCAACCAAACGGAGAATTTATTCTGAGATTTTCAAAGTAGAAAAAACTCTGTGTGAAAGAAAAAAAAAATAAAAAGAAAAAGAAAAATGGGGCTCTCCTTAAGAAAAACCTAAAAGCAAAGCGTTTGTTTCGGGAATTTATTCTATCTCTATTGGACACATGAATCGTCAATAATGCTCATAAATGATCATTAATAGAATCAATTCAAATCAAACCATGGAATATAAAACAATAATAAAGCTATTACGTTAATTTGTCAGATAGTGAAATAGTCGTCGTCCGACTCCAGCATGGAATGGCCACGACGGTTCGCCAATTTGACACTGCTAATTAGTGTACCATCTAATATATAAGACATAAGAGGAATTTACAGAAATAATAAAAAAAAACGTGATGAATCTGGAGCCGACATGCGATGAGAGTTGGGCTCCACCTACTTAGCTCTCCCGACACAACCCGGCCTTTAGTTTACGAAACGCGCTTGCTCGGCTTCCTTTTGGGGGGGGCCCAGTCGGCTCGTCCGACAAAATTCCCTCGTGCGTCATTCTCGGGTCCCAGAAGAGCCCAATTCGATGGAAGCATACAAAAGCTTCCACGCATCGGTGATGCCCGCCAACCGGAAACGCACGACGGGGAAAAACTTGGGATACGAATGGTCGGCTCGTGATCCAATTCGTCCACCGACATGAGATTCGATACGAAGCCAGCCGCTGGAGCAATCCGGAACGCAACTGTTGGACCGACATCCGCGATCACTTGGCAAATTCCAAGACAGCGTTCAGGAACTCCCAACCACTCACACGGAAGGAACTAATGTGATCCGATCGGCTCAACAGCTAAATCGCAACATCGATGTCGAACCCTCTGAATGCTGTCTGGGAATAGAGAGGAAATCCCGGCCTCACGTTAAGAAAAAGGAAGAAAAGCTTCTGGCACACAGGAGGGAGATGGATAGTTTGATCCCAAAGAGCAGTACCACACGTGACCAAAGCAGCACACCTAAAATGAGCGAGTACAATGATTCACTCACGTTTAACGCGCCATTCATTTTAACCCACGTGCTAAAACAATCTGCTGGCTGTCGGGTACGTAAAAGACAAGTGTGTGTTTACTTGTTAGATTTACCATGTCAATCTACAGTAATCTTCATTCCATAGTTGCGCAGCGAATCACCATTTCCCCACGTGCCATCTAATGATTGACCATTTATACATTAGCAAGCCACTTGACGCTCTCAA